AATCGGTTTTATATTTGTTCAATGACTGTTTTAATAATTTTAAATTAAGATTTTAGTTGAAAAATTTGTTATCCGGAGATATAGAATATTTTTACCAATAAAATTAAGTTAAATAATTTATTTAAGTTATTTAATATACTATTCAAATTTTAATCGGTTTGAATATTGAATATATTAAAGATATATTTTTAAATATTTTTGAAGACTTGAAAAATTGTAAATTGAGAATTTTGTAAAATAGATAAAAGTACAATTTTTTTAATATTTAAAGAAGTTGTTTGGTTTGAGAAAATTTTTTTAAAGGAGACTATAATGAATAATTCAGAATTTTAATATAAAATATTTAGATTTTGGGTAATAAAATATATTTACTTAAGTTGTTAAATTTAAATAGTCTTATATGTAAATCATATTTTTCAAAATAATATTATATCTGTTGTAAATGGCTAGATTTGGGAGAGTTAATATATTTATGTAATTTTGATTTAGAGGGTAGTTTAGAATTTTAGAGTAGTTTTGAGTTTTGTATTAATAAATATTTATGTGCAATTTTATAGATTTTTGATAATTTTAAAGTAATCTTTGTGTGATTATTTGTAAGCTAAAGAATACCAGGTAACTCTGAAAATTCTTTCTTGTATATGTGAATTGTGTATGATTATATTGTAGATTTATTAATTTTTATACCATATTGAAATATAATATAATATTATGATTTTTTTAAATACATGTTTTGGTATATTCCCTGATTTTATTAAGATTTATTGCTAGTAATTATGATTAATATTTAAATATATTAATAGCTATGAAATTATCATGAGTTGCTGTTAAATAGTATATGAATTTTATTGCTCTCTTGTTTTTAATAATATATTTGAGAACATATTTATGATGTACCGTTATTTGCATATGGACATGCATTGTTGGGCTAAGGATAGAAGGAGATTTGCATGGATATAAATTACCACGTGGTATGCCATCACTCGGTGCAGTGAATGACACTTATTAAGGCCTTTCTTCCATGTTTTCCTTTGGCCGGGAATTCATTTGAGCTGTGGGACATGTGACACTTCTCTATTCGCAAAGGAGGGGAGCCATAGTCCGAGCTTGAGCTTTATATCTTTGGCCGGATATTATCTCTAGTATTGGTGAGCTTGAAATAATTCAGTAAAATTGATTAATTCTTATTAGACTATGTGTTAGCCTATGGCTCCAATCAGCGGTATAAGGATAGACGGTGATATAAGGGAAACAGCATATTGCATTATTTTTGGATATATTGGAAAAATGATATTGGTATATTGTTGAATCAAAAATGAAATTGAGTTGAATGTGTCAAATCCGTGATTTTCATACACACACACACAAACAGATTTTTGTTTATCATATATGGTTTGCTTGTATAGGTTAGAATTTCAACAGTTACTGAGACGTTTGATCTCACCCTTTATATTAACAATTTTCAGACGAAGGATCTAGTAGGAATCAAGGGAAGGCACCAATAGAGTGAGCCGTGAAGGCTTCTGTACTCCTCGGGCACATGCTATGTTATATTTTTAATTGTCATGACTATAAGACTTTAATAGTTTATTTTGTTGTTATGTCAGAAATATTTTGAAATTATGACTTTGTTGGAGGGTTAGTAATGTATAGATTTTTATATGAAATATTTTATCGGGTATATAGATATAATTATGTGAGGTGTTATGGCACACGCTCAAATTTAGATCTTTTTAACTAATTAAATTTTCAAACAGGAATTTTTTTTACCAATTTTTCCTAAAAATAATTCCCCAAAGTATTTAAAAATGATCGCCTAAAAAAAACTCACCAAACAACGTACTTTTTGACCAAGCTATCAGCGCCAAGCAACAAAAAAAAAAAGGTAAAAAATTTCTATTTGAAAATTTGATTAGCTAAAAAATACATGAATTTGAATGTATGCAAATATGATCTGTAAGTGCAAAATATCTTTCACCATGTGTAAATGACTTTTATAGTAATAATTGTTGTACATCATTAATGATATATTACACACAGCAGAAGATATGTTACATTCATGAATTATATTGCATTCGCTCAAATTCAGATCATTTTAACCAATTAAATTTTAAAATAGGGATTTTTTTTGCCAATTTTTCCCAAAAAAAGTAAATAAATAAATAAATAAACAGGAAAATGACAAAAAAAGAGACCGTTGAAATAGAAAATTACACACGAGAACCGAATTATAAAAATTATTGTCAAAACCAGAGAACAAAAAACCAGATTGAACCGGCAAGTGGTCTGATTCGTTATGGATATTGAACCAAGGGGAGTTAAACCGGTAGCCAATCGGTCAAACCAGTGTGAACCGGTAAAAACCGGTGTAAATCGATAATAAATCAGTTTGGATGATTATGTTATTATTTGTCCTGTTTTTTCTCATTCAGCTCTTAATATCTCAACCCCTATAAATTTAAATGAATTTTAATGATGATTTTAGTATTAATAATTATTAATTTTAGTTAATGATAAATCATAAAAATCAAAATTTTCAATGTTATTATACTTTGTTATTGTTACAATCAAACTATTTTTACATTTCATTATTTTTTGTTATTAGTGATTATTAATGTTATTATATGTTGTTATTTTTAATTAAATTATATTTATTTTAATATGGTCTTGGATCCCGAGTTAACTCTGGTTCAACCAACTGACCTTTGAACCACTATCTCAACTTGTTTAGTATCTGGTTCGGTTTTTTATTCTTTATTCAAAACTTATACTATTATTGTCAAAACTTATACTCCTCCGGTCCTTATTTAAGACCCAATTTGACTTTTTATTTGGTCCTAATTATAAGACCCAATCCATTTTGTCTCTTATATTTATGCATTTTTTTCCAAGATAATCCTTCTAATAATGATAGTTTTAGCCAATATACTTAATTAGCAAGGATATTTTAGGAATAACAACACTTATTTATTATAAATAACCAACTTAACTTACTTCCTTAATCTCCTCAAATAAGTCAATTGGGTCTTATAATTAGGACCGGAGGAGTACTAATATTATTATAAGTCTTTATTTGTAATTTTTCTATTTTGATAGTTTTTTTTGGTCATTTTTCCTAAATAAACCACCAACTTTTGGCATGCGTGCCATAGCAGCAATGGCAATTTTTGGAACAAAAGATTTGAGCGCGCACGGTCCCTCCTGCTGTGCGGGCTCTGGTTCCCCAAGAAAGCATGGTCCCTACTCCCTCCACCCTCTCTGAGTTTCCTTGTTTTATGCTGGGCTGGTGCCCTCTTTTTGTGCCCAAAAAACAGATACTCTGAGTCTGAATGTTCTTCGGATTCTCTGTTGAGGGCGTGGCTTCAAAATCCACAAAACATTCAGTGCTACTGTGTTCAGCGTTCAGATCAGAGCCAAGCCGATAGCCATGGCTAGGATTTTGTCTACATCTTTCTCCGCTGCCTCTTCCCCTTTATTCACTCATCGTTATTTCTCTCTGACCCCTAATCCACGACATTGTTCTTTTCCACGTCCAATCGTTCCCCAAAAGCACAAGAACTTGGGGATTGCTGCCCAGGCCAACGTTGCTCAGAGTGGAGGCTCGTCAATTAAGTCGTTCGGCCAGGTTTACTATCACGTCTTTTGTTCATCGTTTATTCTTTTGGATTTTCTTGTAAAATTTTTCATCCATTTTTTTTTTAATTCCTATCATCAATTATTTTGCATTCCTGAATGGTGCAGTTGATCGAATCGTTGATTAATGGCGAGAGTTTATCGGAAGCCCAAGCTGAAGCATCCCTTGACTTCTTATTGAACGAAGCGGATGAGGCATTGATAAGCGCTTTCCTTGTACTTTTGAGAGCCAAAGGAGAGACTTTTGAAGAAGTAAGTTCGCTGCTTTTGGTTCTTCCCTGGCCAATAGACTGGTTTGGAGTTTGGATTTTAGGCCCTCCCCTGGAGTCGACTGATGCTTTTGGGTTCTTCCCTAGCTAAGAATTATGTTTTTCCTTTTACTTATTATTCATTATCTAAACAGATTGTGGGATTAGCAAGGGCGATGATTAAACATGCCCTGAAGGTCGAAGGATTGGTTGATGCGGTTGACATAGTTGGAACTGGAGGCGATGGTGCAAACACCGTAAACATTTCAACTGGGGCTTCGATACTTGCTGCTGCTTGTGGTGCTCAAGTTGCAAAGGTGAAGATGCATTTTAGTGCATACACTGTCAGAGAGGCAGAAAATTATAATGCAGTGGGAGCATTTATTGATGTCGAAGTGTAATTTATTATTTTTTTACTGCAGCAAGGAAACCGTTCAAGTTCTTCTGCGTGTGGAAGTGCTGATGTACTAGAAGCATTGGGAGTGGCTATTGACTTGGATCCCGAGGTTAGTACAACGTATATCAAGGGTGGTATTTTTAGACTAGTTAAGAATTATGACTTTGGTATCAGTTCATCCTAGCCCTGTCTTTCTGGGGATAATTATCAATGAACAAAAGCTGTCAGTGAGATGTTTGGCAACAATGCTAACATATTTATAATCAAATCAGAAGACCTTTGTCTAGGACATTGGATGTAGTTGTGGTCATCAATTTGATAGAAAAGTGTTAGAATTATCCTGTGTATAGCTTTGGTCTAAAGAAAGCTATTTAAGTTTTAATAATAAGTTATGCTCTCGGGTATGCTTTTCTAGACAAATAAACTGTTCGATGGTTTCCTCATGATTCTGTCAATTTGAAGTCTAAGATGAAGCAGTCACAAGATTTAAGTAGATAAAATAATCAATTCATTTCGAAGTGTAGGATTACTTAAGAGTGAAGGAGAGTTTTGAACCTCATGTACTTTTATTTAGTTAATAGAATGAAGCAAAGAGATAATCTTGACATTGACAAATGTGTATAGTAAATTGATTTTGTTGTTCCCTTTTTTAATCGCAATCAGGGAATAATAAGATGCGTGAATGAAACTGGAATTGGTTTTATGATGTCTCCGAAGTACCACCCTGCGATGAAGATTGTCCGTCCTATAAGAAGAAAGCTAAAAGTAAAAACTGTTTTCAATATATTGGGTCCCATGTTAAATCCAGCAAGAGTACCTTATGCAGTTGTTGGAGTATATGCAGAAGATTTGGTGAGTTCATTCATTGTTTACTGTTGCTAACTGAAGATTAAATTCATTAGCATTCTACATCATCTACGCATAGTAGAAAACTATTTGAATCTTTCCTTCACCTAATTTTTTTTGGTGGAATATCGCATGCCTGATTATGAAATTATTCATTGTGTGAATTCTATATGCTCATAATATCTTCAATACTAACACTAATAATGGCAAAACAACTTGATTTATCAATTATGAACTTATGCATCACCCTGAAAGCCAATTCAGATTGTCTGCCTCTCCAATTGTCAACCTATCTCAATCGATTTGTAATCTAGGTTCCAAAAAAACTGGCATCTAAAACAACTTGTTCACAAACTTGAATTCACATCTGTCCAAATAGTAAGGTAGAATCCCAAGCATGTTTAGTTGGGTACTATGTAATCTATTGATTAAATTCTGAGATGTTGCTTAAGACTGGCTGATTCTCTTAAGGCTATATCTATTCATCCTATTGTGATAAGGTTATTGTGGAATAGTATTGTTTAAAATCAAACTAAATATTTAGATTACCAATACGATACCATGATTTTATCTAATAGCTAACACCAACCCAGGTATATAAGACATTTTCTTAGTGAGTTGACAGTAAAACTTAATGTATTATGTAGTTACTGCTTTTTTACAGTTGTACAGGAACTAAAGATTTAAGCTGAATGGATTTGGCATCTATTCTACCATACACGCTGCATCTAATAAGCTGTTTGTTTTGGCTTTTTGGATAGGTCTTCAAAATGGCTGGGGCACTTCAAAGGTTTGGCATGAAAAGAGCTTTGGTTGTCCATTCTGAAGGCTTGGATGAAATGAGTCCTCTTGGTAAAACCTCTTGCTTTCATTGCAGTTCTGGAGATTGTTTATTTGTTAGCTGTAGGTATTTGAATCAGATTTTCCTGACATCTGTATTTCGGTATTCTTGTGTTTTCCACAGGTCCTGGTTTGATACTTGATGTCACTCCAGAAAAGATTGAGAAGTTCCTATTTGATCCATGTAAGCGTGCGATAAATAATGGCTTTGTACATCTTATATTTTGTGAAGTATTTTGATACGACACACTAGCAACTAAATGAGTGCTATGAGAGATCTTTTATGTAGAATGGATAGTTGAATGCACTGATATGTGAGAACTATTTTCTCCCCCTGGAATAGTGGAGTTCAATATACCTCGGTGCACCCTTGGTGATTTGAGAGGTGGTGGCCCAGAATACAATGCAGAGGTTTTGAAGCGTGTCCTAGCTGGAGAGAGAGGGCCTATAGCTGATGCTTTGGTGAGTGGCTTTTACTTTCCTGATCTTTAAGCAGCTTAGAAGGTGGCACCGGTTTTACTTTCCTGTGTGTCTGGGATCCACAAGCTTCAAGCTTCCTTATTAGATGCGCTTATTATCGAGGCCAAATTTGTTACATCCGGTCTTAGTTTTCTCTTTTGTCCTCTTACTTTCAAAATTCTTGCACATTCTTTAAGTTCACCCTCCTTTTCCTGTCACGACTCTGAAACACCATCAGGAGGTGAAACTTGGCTCCCTATGGATTTTTAAAAAGTGTATTACACCATTGGAACTTGTTGATTGCTTATCTTGGTGGATTCTTCTTTTTTAAGATCCCCTGAAACTTTCACCATAGAAAATTATGGAGGCTAACCAGAAAAACAAATGAGAGTTTTAGAATTTGTTGAAAACCTGCTTTCGTTTCATAAATGTTTCCTCGAACTTCCACCGTAAAGTAAACGTTGATTCTTTATTACTTGCCCTTTTTCATTTTTCTCATTAAGGTAAATTATTGCATCGTGTGCTGCTTTGATGTTCATCATGCACTCTGTATGCACATGAAATGAAAGATCTATTTTGTTTTCCATATGCCAAAAAAAAAAAAATGGCTAGGTCCTCAATGCAGCAGCAGCTCTCCTGGTCAGCGGCCATGTAAAGAACTTAGGCGAAGGAGTGTCTTTGGCACGTGAAACACAAGGATCTGGAAAGGCTCTGAAGGCTCTGAACGCATGGAAGGATGTCTCTAATGTAAGTAAACTGATCCTTATTATTTAAATTCCATGACAATCTTCTTGCTAATCTCATTTCCCCATCACATTTCCACAATTGAAGAGAGTGAAAGAGAATGCAGCGGTGGGGATTGCTTGAATCAATTGTGTATTTCTCGAACTTAGTCGCTGGATAAATGCAGGGAAGGCCTCATACTGAATATGAATAAGCCAAGAGATGTCCGATCATCTTGCACGCAAAAATTTGTTTTGGTAGTAGCATGTAAAATAAATTATCCATCTCTAGCGGAAGGTTAGTCGAATGGTAATTTTAAATTTAAGTTTAGATTTTGAAAATAGAACAGAGTTTTGTAAGTTTAACAAAATCGAAGGAAGGCGTATCTATTTATTTATTGTTTTGATGTAAATGTGAAGCTCCTGATATTTGTTCTAGTTTGGAATATTATTGTGGCGATCGGTAGGAAAGAAAATGAGAATGAAGACAGCTAATGCACGGCAAGTTTGGCAACAATGAAGACATAACCACGTGATAGTTTGCTACAATAATGAACCTACCACCCGGGCGTCGCTACCATTCATTCGCTCACCTGCGCGCATTTTCGTCGTCATATGCCTTGCTGTGTCCGACGGCGACAGGCTTACTGTACATTCGTACACACAGTCGCTTTAATAAATCAGCAAGGACAGAATACTGCTCAAAATTTGAATCTTACAAAAATATCCCCGACGTTAAAAATGAGCAAATAAATTATAGAAAAAATGATCGAATTTTAAGAAGACAAATAGGTTTATTCTTGTAATGCTTTTTTTTTTATTGAGCTTAGGGCTTCCTTCTTCTTCACAAATAAGACCGGTGATTTTCATGGTGACACACTCAGGTAAATGAAGCCCTTCTTAAGCAACTCTTTTAGTTGTTTTTTTAGTTCTGCTAGCTCTAAAGGAGACATTCGGCAAGGTGCCTCACAGAAATTAGTAGATTACCACCTGAACGGGAAATTAAATTTACTATTGATTTGGTACTTAGAACGAATCTAATTTTAAAAGCTCCCTATTGAATGGCGAGCTTCATAGTAGCACTCCATCTGGTCCATTTTCCTAGCAAGGCCTTCTCTTTCAGTTTTGGACTCATCTAGCTCTCTAAGAAGTTCAAAAAGTTTGGCTAGCAGTGACTAATCCTTCCCTACCGTAGAATTCTTGACTAAATGTTTAAAGAATTTAACTAAATGCCAACTATGTTAGATCTATAGTTATTTTTCTAATGGTTTTGATTACTTTTACAATGATTTTGACAAATTAGAATATGTCAAAATTATAAATTTGTCATTTTGAAATTAATTAGGTATTTTTTTTAATCATTCTCCCTAAATTATATAGTTGCGGTGGTGCATTCTTAAGTAGTGTTTCCTTTTAAAATTCAATTGTTCGATTCAATCAAAAAAAAAAAATTCAATTGTTCGACGGAACTGAATCGCAGTGGGACGTTGAATTGGAAGTCCTCCAAGCAAATCCGCCTGATGCCGTCTGAGCCAAACCGGCACGTGCCACCTGTTGCCTAGCACGCTGCACAAGGCCCCCGTCATTCCCTTGCCCCAGATGCCTCACCCGGATCATCAACTCGTAATGGTGCCAGATGATAGGCACTGCTCTAACCTTGCTGATTCGAAGCCACTTCCTGCGTCAATGGGAAGTTGATATGGTGTACTCATTTTAATGAGGCATGCTGATGTGCCAACTGAGTTGCTGGACCATCCCATAAACTCTCCTCTGGTTTTCCGTTTACAAAGCTCCTTCCAAGCCTCGGATGATTGGCACAATTGGTGGAGCTAATCTCGGTGATCGAAATCTGTTGCAATTTGTGGAAAATTAGCTCTAACATCATAATCACCCTGGCTTTAATACATCCCAGCAACTATTCCAAATCCATTCACTTGGTGCTTAAATGCGACACACAGCTAACCATGCGTCACCTGTATCAAATTCAGGCCCAGCTTCTCGGCTTCCCTGTATTTGCCGATGCAAAATCTATTGACCCTAACATTGTCGCCGTTAAGCTCATAGGGGTATGCGGCGCCCGCGCCAATGCTCACCACGGTGCTTTAATCTTCACGCACCACCTTACAAACCCAAATATCTTCGCTTACAATGCCCTTCTCAAAGCATTTGCTCAGAACAATCTCTGGCACGATACCGTATATCACTTTAACAAGCAATTGTTTACGCCTGGTGCTCCAAACCCAGATGAATACACGTTTACTTCCGTTCTCAAGGCTTGCGCTGGACTCGCCTGGGCTGTAGAAGGTGAAAAAGTTCATTGCATGGTCACTAAATATGGATGCGAATCAAACCTTTTTGTCCGTAACTCGCTTGTGGATTTGTATTTTAAAGTGGGTCGGCTTGGGATTGCTCAGGTGCTTTTTGATAAGATGATTTATAGAGATATTGTATCTTGGAACACTTTACTTTCTGGTTATTGCTTAAGTGGAAACATCAATCAGGCAAGGTGGATTTTCGATGGGATGGGTGAGAAAACCATGGTTTCTTGGTCGACGATGATTAGTGGCTATGCAAAGATGGGCAAGTTATACGAAGCACGCCAGCTTTTTGATAAAATGCCAGAGAGAAATGTAGTTTCATGGAACGCAATGATTTCTGGTTATGCCCAAAACGAGAAATATTCTGATGCTATAGAATTATTTCACCAAATGCAACAACAAAGTAATCTGGTGCCCAATGATGTTACACTCGTTAGTGTATTGTCTGCTTGTGCACAGCTCGGAGCACTTGATTTAGGGAAGTGGATTGATAGATTCATAAAACGAAATAAGATAAAGCTGAGTCTGTTTTTAGGGAACTCACTGGCTGATATGTATGCAAAGTGTGGATGCATAGGAGATGCTAGGCATGTTTTCGATTCAATGCAGGAAAAAGACGTGACCTCGTGGACTATTATAATCACTGGCTTGGCAATGCATGGGCATGCAAATGAAGCCTTCATTTGCTTTAGAGAAATGATCGAAAATGGATTGAGGCCAAGTGATATAACTTTCATGGGGCTACTAACAGCATGTACTCATGCGGGACTGGTTGATGAGGGGCTGGACTACTTTCATATGATGGACCAAGTGTATGGAATTGCGCCTAAGATTGAACACTATGGGTGTGTGGTTGATCTTCTTAGCCGCACTGGTCGTCTGGAGAAAGCTGAGAGTTTGGTTATCTCAATGCCTATCGAGCCTAATGTCTTAGTTTGGGGTGCACTGCTTGGCGGGTGCAGGAAATATAGAGATGCAGAGAGAGGTGTACGCGTAGCTCAACGCATTCTTGAATTGGCTCCTGACCACTCTGGAAGCTATGTCTATCTTGCTAATATATATGCTTCAAAGGGAAGGCTAGACGATGCAGCTAAGTGTAGGTTGAGAATGCGAGACAAAGGAGTGATAAAAACACCTGGGTGTAGTTGGATCGAGGTGGATAATACTGTTCACGAGTTCTTCATGGGAGACTTGATCTCACATCCTCAGTCAGAGAAGATTGATTTAATGATTAGAGAATTAAGATGGAAATTGAAGCAAGGTGGATACAAACCTAGGACAGATCTTGTGGTACATAATGTGGATGAAGAAGAAAAAGAGGATGCGTTATCCATTCACAGTGAGAGGTTGGCCATAGCATTTGGGCTGATTAGTACTAGCCCAGGAACGACAATTAGAATAGTAAAGAACCTGCGAGTTTGTGACGATTGCCATGATGCTATAAAGATGATATCTCAACTTGTTCGGAGAGAAATTATTGTGCGTGACCGTAGTCGGTTCCATCATTTCAGAAAAGGCACATGCTCTTGTGATGATTTTTGGTAGTGAAATAGAAAAAGAGAAAAGATCTCTTGTTCATTTGCTTGAGTACATATTCAAATGACTAGGTCCCTTGGCAAACAGGAATGGGATGAGATGGATACGTTATGTGGTCTCTGAACTACAGTCAGAACCAGTCTATCTTCTTCCTAGCAGTTGGATAATTTTGGTAGCCTATAGTAATGCGGAGGTGTTGTTTAGCACAGGGTTCCCCAAAGCTTGACAGCGAGGACAAAAGATTTGGCATGAAAAGAATTTTGGTTTGGCTTTGTGGATAGGTCTTCAAAATGGCTGGGGCACTTAAAAGGTTTAGCATGAAAAGAGCTTTGGTTGTCCGCTCTGAAGGCTTGGATGAAATGAGTCCTTTTGGTTAAACCTCTTGATTTCATTGCTACTCTGGAGATTGTTTATTTGGTCGACGTAGGTATTTGAATCAGATATTCCGGATTTTGGTATTCTTGTATGTTTCCCACGAATCATGGTGTGATACTTGATGTCACTCCAGAAAAGATTGAGAAGTTCCTATTTGATCCATGTAAGCGTGCGATAAATAATGGCTTTGTACATCTTATATTTTGTGAAGTATTCTGATACGACACACTAGCAACTAAATGAGTGCTATGAGAGATCTTTTATGTAGAATGGATAGTTGAATGCACTGATATGTGAGAACTATTTCCCCCCAGCAATTAGTGGAGTTCCGTACACCTTGGTGCAACCCTGATAGCTTGAAAGGTGGTGGTCCAGAATAGAATGCAGAGGTTTTGAAGCGGGTCCTTGCTGAAGGGAGAGGCCCATAGCTGGTGCCTTTGTGCTGTGAGTAGCTTTTTCTTTCCTAATCTTTAAGCAGCTTAGAAGATGCCACCACTAACTGATGAGAAAAGGTTAACCTCAATTTGTGTTTGTGTGCATGCATGTATATGTACGCATGTATGATCCACGAGCTTCAAGCTCCCTTATTAGATGCTTATCTTTGAGACCGAATTTGTTACGCCTGGTTTTAGTTTGCTCTTTTCTCCTCTTACGTTCAAAATTCTTGCACATTTTTTAAGGTTGGCCTCCTTTTTCTTGTCATGGCTCTGAAACATCAGGAAGTGAAACTTGGCTTATCCTGGTGGATTCTTCTTTTTTAAAACGTTGCCCTTAAACTTCCACCATAGAAGTTATGGAGGTTAACCAGAGAAACAAATTAGAGCATCAGAATTAATTGAAAACTGGCTTTTCTTTCATAAATGTTTCCTCGAACTTCCACTGCGGAACACCTCAGATACCGACCAGGAGGACCATAGTAGTAGTTTAGTTTTGACCGCTCTCCCCATCCCTCTTGTTGCTTCAGTGCACTGTCTCATTGATGTTGAAGTAAACGTTGATTCTTTATTATTTGTCCTTTTTCATCTTGCGCTCTGTATGCACATGAACTGAAAAATCTATTTTGTTCTCATTATGCCCTTAAAAAAAAAAGGCTACGTCCCCAAGGCAGCAGCAGGTGTCCTGACCCGTGGCCATGTAAGGAACTTGGGCGAAGGAGTGTCTTTGGCACGTGAAGCACAAGAATCTGGAAATGCTCTGAAGATCCTGAACATATATGCAAGGATGTCTCAAATGCAAGTAAACCGATCCTTATTATTATTTTTTTTGGCAAAACCGATATTTATTGTTATTTTCATTTCATGACAATTGTAATGCTAGTCGCATTTTCCCATCACATTTATGCAATTGCAGGGAGTGAAAGAGGTTGCACCGATAAAGAATGCTTCAATCACTTGTGTATTTTTCAAACTTAATCGCTGGATATATGCCTCTCATTCTGAATATGAATGAGCCAAGAGATGTCCGATTATCATGCACACGAAATTTGGTTTTGGTAATAATATGTAAGATTATTTTTTTTTTAAATAAAAGAGAGATTTATGTAATTTAACAAAATTAAAGGAAGGTGAATCTATTGAGTGTTTATTTTTGGGTGTAAAATGTAAAGAAATTGAGTAGCTGATGCTATATGTTTTAATTTGGAATATGAGATTGAAGACAACTAATGAAAAGGCAATAGATAGAATGGCAAGTCAGGCAATAATGAAGAGAACTAATGCAAAAACAAAGTGTAACTCTCTCTCACCCCCTCCCCCAAAAAACTCCTATTCTCTGTTTCTGTGTTTCACTCAAGCATTTATTTACAAAGTGTGGTTTGATTCCACTTTTGTTAAATACTCTCAGGCAGTGGCCAATATTCAAATCCAGATCCAGATCACTGTCATCCATAGCAGCATACACGCAAATGGTTCTGCAAAAGTTGTTAGAAAACAAAGATCCCCATTTAATAATAGCCACATGATAGTTTGCTAAAATATGAAGCAACCACCCTCTGATAATTATTTACATGCTCACCTCCAAGCATCTTCATCATCATAGGCTTTGCTGTGTCCGATGAATATAAGCTGACTGTAAATCACCAAGTAAAGAATACTCTTCAAAATTAAATTCTTAAAAAATATCTATGAGATTCAAAATAAATAAATAAATTCTACACATTCTTTTAAGATTCAAATAGTACCACTTTTTACAATAAGGACGGAAATTTTCTTTTAAGATTCAATTGTATGACTGACCTGAATCACAGTTGGACGTCGAATTGGAATCCCCACACATGCAGATTTGCCGGATGCCGTCCGAGCCAAACCCGCACGTGCCGCCCGTCGCCTCGCACGCGGCACAAAACCCATCATTTCCTTGCACCGAATACCTCAAACGGATCCCGTAAGACCACCCTTTAGGCCCGTCAACCCGTAATGGAGCCAGATTGTAGGCACTGCTATACCCTTCACACCCAAGCCTGCTCAGATTTATGGCCTTAATCATCTCAAACGGCACTGCGCAACATTCGGGTGGGCCTGAGGCGAAGAACGACGATTCTGGGCCCACCCTCTTGTGGCCCAACATGTCCCAAGCTGGGCACCCATAATACTCTTCACAGCTCATCCCCGAAACGTTTCGACAAGGCATGTGCTTCCCTGGGAAACCTTGGAACAAAGGAGAGTCCGCCGAGCATCCTATGAGCATGAACACGTTGTCGGCTGTCGGATTCATGTAGGGCTGCCTCCACGGCTCCACCGAGAAGCCGTTGCCACGTCCTCCGAGGACGATTTTGTCGCATGTTGACATGTGAGGCTCGTGGAGAGTGAGGGCCCGATAAGCATAGTCTATCTCCAGGACTCTGTATGATCCGGAGCTTACGTGAAACATGAGGACGTCATTGATGCAGAAGAGAAGGTCGCGAAAGCCAGGGTGGCCGCATCCGTATCGGAGTGCAAATGGGTAGTCTATGGTTATGTTTCCACAATATGATCGGCACGAGTGAGGATGACCGGAGCTTAACGGGATTAGATCGGTTAAGAAGACAAGACAGAGAAGAAGGAACACTATGGGCATGACTGGCTGGAGATTGAAGGAAAAGGACTAAGTATTGAGTGAACGCTTGCCTGAAAATGAAGATAATATGCTTGCCTTGGTTATGACTTATAAATAATTTGATGATGAGAAAGGTGTCAGTGTTGGGTGGCTTTGTATTCACACATACACCCACAGAGAGAACCATGCATGGTAGATGCAGCTAGTGTTGAGGAATCTGGGTTGAATTGTTTATGGGTTTTCCTTCCACTTTTTGCTGTGTCGGAAGAATTAGTTCTTTAAGGTGATATTGATGGCTTTGTTGGTTAGGCTGCTTTAGAATCGAATATTATAGTATTGCTTCTTGATGACTAATGGTAGTGAGGAGGTTCCAAATTTAAAGTGAGCTTGCAAACTAAGGACACGAAGGAAGACAGAAACCGTCAGTGCCAAGAAAAGGATATCTGAAAATTAGAAATGTGGGAAGCAGGGTGATGCTCAAGCATCCAAAATTTAAATCCACATTTATAGATTTCTCAGCCCTTCTTTACTGAGTCAATAAAATACGATAAGTAAGTTGAACAATCTAGTTGGAATAATCAATTTTTTGCATCTTGAGAGAGAGAGAGAGAGAGAGAGAGAGAGGTTGTCTGTATTTTGAACTTGTTTACATTGTTTTAGCTAGTGTTCGATTTCATTTTATTCAAGAAACACCTCTCTCCCCCCGAGCTTTTTACGCACATAGATGTCGACTAGCTAGTTGAATGGTGGCGGCATATAGAGTCTGGACCTTCTCTGTTGCAAGACTCTGTTTAAAATGATGCCTCATATACTCTAATCCGTATGTTACATTACACTGAGAATAAATGCACGTTGCGAGCAAAGATGGAAGTGTGGCGTAAAAAAACACGAGCAGAGGAGATAAAATCTCTCATTTATGTAACAAAAACTAAAAATGACATTTGATTTCAAACTGTTGGAACAGGTTGCGCAACTATTAAGGTTGTGTTTGAATTAATGACGACAAACAACTAATTTTTGTAAATTTAAATTAGAATAAAAATAAACAGTGTAGTATGATTTATGTTTATATTAAAATTTATAAAAAAATCAATTGAAAAAGTTAAAATTTGTTTGGATGATTAATAAGAAAATAAATTTATATATAAAAAGACTAAAAAGAATATGAACTATATTGAATAATAGTATTTTATATTATATGATTTTAATGTGATAATCATTAAAAAATAATAAAAATTATAACTATAAAATAAAAATATTTGTTAATAAGAAAATTGTAATAAGAATTTTAAATTGGTAAAAAGGATTTAAATTAAAGGGTTTTTATAAAAATTTAATTTGTAAAGTGCCGCTACCCTGTGCATATAAAAATTTATCGAGTCTTTCTCACCAATTAAATTTTTAGTGAAGAATTTTTTCCAATTTTCTCCAAATTTATTATTTCATTTTTCTTTCTTTGGACAGTTTTATAAATATATTTCTCTAGTCCTATATATAAGACACTTTTAGCTTGTTTCATTTCACATAGACTAAGAAAAACATCAAATTGTATTAACTCTCTATTAAAGTTTAACAACTTCCCAACTTTACCTCTATTTAATATATATAACTTTCAAAAAAATAACTATCTACATTATAATAAATAAAAGATAAAATTATACATTCATGCTAAAAATTTAATCAAATTACTTATAAATAAAATTAAAAAACTTTCTCTTTTTACTTTATAAATAGAATAAGAGGAAATATAATTATTGAGTATTTTGAAGTAATTTTTTATTTTTATTAAAATAAAATAGAACCCACCTTGAGACACTCCTCGCTCTCATCTTATAATCATCTTTCGTCAACGTTGAAACACATCCAACTTTTACTTTAAAAGTTAGTTGGGCTAAAAGCCCTCCCAAACAACTCACAATACTTGAATAAGTTCCCAACCTCAATCTCACATACTCCAAGGCACTTTTGCAACTTAAAATGACAATCCAAATATGCCCTAAGCACATTCACATAAGTTGAACAAAAAAACTCTTATTACATATTATTTTGTTTTTTGTAAATCATGATTGAAAAACTATTTTAAAAATATTCTATCATCATCGCATGGGCAATCTCATTTGAGATAAAGTTTAAGAAGCAACTTAAAATATTTTTGAGATATGTCAAGTTCTCTAAAATATTTTGTGGTTCATTCAACAAGAAGTATCTTGAAAAATTAATTTAGGGTGCTTAATGAATTACTAAATATTTAAGATGTTGAATGCTTCTTAAAAAAAAAATTCAGCATGTTGCTTAAACTGGACCCATCTCATTTTAGTACTAAAATATAAAATTTATAATAGCCTGATTTTATAAATTACCACTATAATAATATGATTACCTTTTGGAAATTCACGTGCCATATAGGTTCACCTAAATTTAAATAAAAAATGATGCAGTGTTATTAAACTTTTTTTAATTCAAAAAGAAGTAGTATGATTAGATATTGGGTAGTTGGTTCAGGCAAAAAAAAAAGATATTGGGTAGTTGGCATAACTTAGGTTTAGTTTGTCTCCATTAAACGGGCTTTATGACCATCGCACTACTTTAAAATTTCAGGCTCGACTAAACTTAACGAATATATTATCTCACATAAAACCATTAATTTTTTTTTTCAATTGAAGAACAACTTTTCTTCAAAAATCTGGATTCATCGATTGCAGTTACCTCAGATTTTCGAAGTGATTCCTTCTCTACACCTCCTTTGAGTTCTATAAAGAAGGATTGAACATATTGTTTGATGCAGGTAAAAATAACATCTCGTTTAATTTGATGTGTGTTAAATTTTCACAGGAACAGAAGGGGCAATTATAGACTTACGATTAATATATCAAATAAGAAAAAAAACTTCGTGCTCATCCTTCATATGCTTTTTTATATCAACATTAATTAAGTATATGAATTATTATAGAATTATTAATCCTTTCATCTTTTTAATAATAGGAATAATATAATCTTTTCAACTATAATAAATATTGCCGTAAATGTATCAGGTCGAGACAAAACTAGCCTGATTAGGCCCTAAAAATTATTACACAGGAAATGGAAGCGCATGGGTGAATTCAGGTCAGCTGGTCCCATTTCAATTTGGCACATCACTCGTATATGGTTCATGTGTCCGTAAATTGTACTCTTTTTGAGATAAAAAGTCAATTTATTTCACTAATAAAATAATAAAGCCATAGCCATATATAAAACCACCTGTTGATTCTAGATTGGAAGTTTAAAGTTTGAAAACAGGAACACATTAGAACAACATAACATAGACGCTAACCCAACAATATCTGAAATAGATAAAATAAGAACTTCAACCAGTATGCTCAACAGTTGATCAGCACTTCAAAGACCAGCCAAAAGCTTAAGCCCCATCTTGAATCAACTGCAGCAACACCAAATCAGGCAGTGCTCAAAATCCCAAAGAGCAAGAGTAAATACTACTCAGCAACATCGATAAATCAAGAGATGCCAAGAGAGGACGCTATCACGAAACACCAACTCATACTAATGACCCATAATGTTGATAATTTTTAAGCTATTAAAAGGGGTCTGACTAAGCACAACCTTGCTGAAAAGAAGAAGTGAGCATGTAAGCCACAGATAGTGTGTCGAAAACCTTAATGAAGTGATGTTCAGTAAGAGTTTGTAAATACTGCTTCGGTCATTAATATAAGACCCATTTAATTAATTTGATTAGATTAAAGAAATTAGGTAAGTTAGTTAATTTAAAAAATGTGACACATTTTTCCTGAAACACCATAATGTTTTTTCTTAATACTCTCTCTCCTTCTTCTACTTGATTATGATTGAGGGAATATCTATAGGGGTAATTTAGAAAAAACTGATAAATATGAAAAATAGGTTTTATATTTGAATCAAAATTAACTCAATAATTAATTCTTATATTAAGGATCGAAGGAGTAGTATTCTCTCCTGTTTTAAAGAGAGGATCTAGTTGGCGTGTTTAGTTTAATGTTATATAAAATATTTCAAATCTATTTTATCCTTTCAAATTCGTAACATTTCCTTTAAATTTTCCTTACTGATTGCACAAGGAAGTTTCTATTAGAAGATTATTTGCACTATACATGACTAAATAAAATATTTTAGAAAAATCGATCAATAACAATTTTTATAAATAACTAAATTAATTTTTTAATTGTTAAAAATTAGTTATCTAGATTCTATAATTATAACTTGAGGGAGTATATCTTTTTTATTTTTTAACGATGTTGATGTCTTTTTTGGCCAATCCTTACCACCATATTGATATTGATAATTCAAACCCACAAATTATAAGCTTGCAAGGTGAGGCCAATTTGTAGCAGTTTTTTTTCATATGACAGATCAAGTTGGAACTCACAACAAGGATTTGAAAGTTGAGTCACATTATTTACAAGATTTGGCAAGTTTGGAGTTCTTATTAAAGTGATTAACACTCAAACTAGCTTCTATTTATAATTACCTCTGTTGATAATGATGATCGTGGCGGGGTAATATTTAATAGTTTTGCCTTGAAAGAAGAAAATGAAAATCCCAAATTACCAAAAATACACGACAATGCAAAGAAGTCAAAAGGATAAAGCAATCTATTTTTATTAGAGCTTCATGCGTTCACGTTGTTTCATTTTGGATAACTTTTGAACACAAAATACTAATAAACTTTGACAAATAGTTAGGGAACTATTTTAAAAATGGGGTGACGAAATCTATTTTGACCAACGGCATGCCTCAGCTTTCTAAGCCTTTAGTTAGCCTCCATGGTTGATTCTCACGGCAATTTCTAATTTTCTATAGAACTTCGAAGTTTATGTTTATGGTTCTTCCCATTTCTACGTTTTCCCCTATCTTCCCTCATAATTTTTGTTTTTTTCTCAGATGAATTTTTTTTTCTATTAAGGAAGCGTCCGTTTGATTGGGTAAAATATAAATAGAAGTTTATGTTTTTCTAGCAAAAAAAAAAAAGACAATAAGATTAATATCTTATTGTGCTATTCTTCGGAGGTAAAAAATCCAATTGAATAGCTATTTGCATAAAAATATTTTTTTAAAAAATGTTTTAAATTATTTTATTAAATATATAAAACAGTAGAATTGATGTATGCGTGGAATTAATGAGTAGCAAGTATTACTCACTTTATAAAATATGTAGGTGTATTGCTAAATTATTACTATTGTATTTAATTGTTTTAAAAAAGTATTAATAGAGATAATTTAAAAAATTAAAAATTAATAAATATTAAAAATAGATCTTATATTTAAGACCAATATTAAATTTCTAATTAAGTTATATATTAAGAATCTGATAAGCATTTTTTAACTATAGTACCATTAATTGCTTTTGTATTCTTACTCCTTTTTAACTTTTAATTTTATTGAATGAGACAAGACAGAGTAAGAGACAGACATGCAGAGAGTTAATATAAAAACACCTTTTTCAAATATAATTCGCATTTTTATATTATAAGTTATTTAATAACTATTTTAAATTTAAATGATAGCCACATTTTGTTAAAACGGCAAAAGATAACAGATTTGGGTTCCTATATGCGACGGTGTTTGTTTTTCATATTTTCCTTGGTTTTTTCTTCTAATTTTGTTTAGAGTCGCCTTCAACTTCTCAGTAATTTCACCAATCTCACCAAAAACAAAACAAAATATCCGATCCTAATTATAAGATCTTATTTATATACTATGAGATTTTATAATTATAACGTATGATGAAAGGCGAGTTGGGTTATCCACAGGAGAAGATGAAGGTTGGTCCATGATTATGAATTTTAATTGACTGGACAAATATGGTGAGGGACACACATTAATGAAGCTTTACGCCGGGGTCCAAAAAAAATGAAGCTTTATGTAATTGAGCTATCTCTTTCTTGAGGTAATATTACACTCTTCAATACTAAATGTGATTATCTTTTTTAATAAGAATTCAAATCTTAATTTACTACTCCTCCGGTTCTTAATATAAGATTTAATTCTTGAGTTTGTTTTAGTTTTAAATATAAGACTCATTTCTCATATTTATCAATTTTCTCTAAATTACCCTTATAGATACTCCCTCAACCATATTCAAGTAGAAGAGGGAGAGGGGTATTAAGAAAGATGATTATGGTGTATTAAAAAAAAATGCCACTTTTCTTATAATTAACTAACTTACCTGACTTTTTTGATTTAATCAAATTAGTTAAATGGGTCTTATAGTAAGGACTGGAATAGTACAATATAAGAGACTACTTTTTTTCTTCTAGATCCAACTCCACCGATAAGTTATACTACCTCTGATTTTTAATATAAGAACTAGTTGACCAATTTGAGTAGATTAAGAAAACTAATTAAGTTAGTTATTTGTAATAAATATGTGTTGTTTTTCTTAAAATATCTTTATTAATCAAGTGTATTGATTAGAACTATCATTATTACAAGGACCACCTCGAAAAAAATGAATAAATATGAAACATAAAATGAATTAGGATTTTATATTTATGATCAAAATAAAAGTTAAATGAGTTTTTATATTAAAGATTTGAGGTAGTATTAATTTATATACATACATGTTTCACAAATAAAATTACGGTATCCTCATGAACGGATTGATACACTACTTCTAGAGTGTTTTGCCATCTTAAATTATAAGATGGTATTGCTTACTACTATAAGTAATGAATAAAATATTTTTTCCATAATTTATTGTTTATAAATCACATGGTTCATATTATACTTTCTATTTCTTTTGTTTTATGAAAAAAAATGAATTTCTTTTAAAAAGAATTGAATTTAGTGGGGACAGCATATCTTGAGTGGACAAAACTATTTTTCACATGTATGCAATGTATATTGAGTCATGTGAAAATGTTTTTCCCATTCTCTACAACTCAGTTACTTTTGAACAACAAATGTTTTAATGGAGAATATTTTTAACAAATTTTGCTTATTTATTTTTGACAATTTTATTTTTTATTTTTATACTTTTACTATTTAAAAATGAGGTATTGGCAGACTTCATTAATTAAAATAAATAAGTTATCTCTTTGAAGGATTTTTTGGATTTGTTAATTGACCAACATGGGTTATGCCTTTATACATGTGGAATTGTCGTTGCGTGCCTCGTGGAGGTAAATTGGTCGTGCGGGGATCTGAATGGGAATTCTTAATCCAGGCTTTGTGTTTCTTGAGTGCTGTTGACTGTTTTCAGACAGGCCAGTCGGAGTTGATTGGTAGTTATACAAGCGTTATAATCGTCATTTTTTTATTCATGGTAGTTTTGAAAATTTCTCCGCTCCGCTCATGTTAAACGCAGACCCAAAAACTAATTTTCACAATCCCTACTCGTCTGCATCGTCATGCCTTCTTTTTCTTTCTTCTAACTTCTGTGTCTCTAGCTACCTACAGTTCAAGGACTTTTGGCGTCCCTTCTATTTTGAAATCTCGTTTGAATCCTGCGAATCTTGCTCTATGCTTCCGTGAATTTCGGAGAACCGGAGCCATCTCGGAGGTTTGGTTTTGTTTTCTCCTTAATCCTTGTTTTCGAGTTTTGAATTATATGATAAGTGGCGTTTCAAATGAGCAACGGGGAGAGGACTCGTGACGCCACCTCCCCCGATCCGTTGGATTCGTTCCCTCCCTTGCGGGTTCGGCAATCGGACCGTGGCGATGCTTCTCTTCCATCATCAAGTTATTCATCGTGCGGAGAGTCCGAGTTCGACCGCTATTGTAGCGCGAACTCAGTCATGGGCACACCGAGTGTGTGTAGCGCGATCACAGTTTTCAACGATTTTCCAGAATACGATTTCGGGTCCGCAAAAAGTGTCGGGATTGGGGGTGATAATGGGTTGGAGAATTTCAGTTTAGCTGAACGAGTTGAGATGAATCACAGGGATCGGAGACTTTCGACTTCTAGTGTGTCGGACGGTACGAGAGATTTCAGAACTGGGTTTGGCAGTGAGAATATCAGAAGCCAGCAGAAATTGAAATACCGCTTAAGTGGATTGGAATTTTACGGTGTTGATAATGATGAACTTACTATGACTATGCTTGATGCATCGAGTTCAATGGAGATTAACCAACTAGAAAGCAATTCGAAGGGAGGTAATGGCTTGGAGAATTTCAATTCACGCAAGGGAGTTGAGATGAATCGTAAAGTTGAGAGGCTTTCGACTCCAAGTGTGTCGGATGGTAAGAGAAATTTCAGAACTGGGTTTGGCTGTGAGAGTATCAGAAGCCAACAGAATTCAAACTACGGCTCCAGTGGATTGGAATTCTACGGTGACGATAATGACGAACTGACTATGACTATGCTAGATGCATCAAATTTCATGGGGGTTAACGAATCAGATAAGAATTTGGACCTGAATTTTGTTCAGCATCATGCTGTAGAAGTTTCCGAAGGGTCTAAAGGACGTAATGAATTTGAAAGTGCCGAGGTTTACTTGTCTAGTGATGCAGAGGATAATGCAGGATATACTCAGACGAATACATCAAGTAATGTGGATGACAAGGGTTCTCATTGTGAAACAACAGTTGGAGAAGGAGGTTTATCAGGTCCAGCTGATAAAAAGTGTGAATTGGACAGTTTTGATGCTCAATCTAAGTTGCAAAATGATGAGGGGGTGATAGAAAGGGAACAAGACAGGAACTCTTCCAATTGTGAGCATTCAGAGGGTGAGGACTCAATATGCAACTATGGTGGTGATGATGACAACAAAAATGATTATTGTTCATCAAGAAGTATTTATCATCTTCAGGAGTCAGAAGTACAACATGAGAATCCCCTCCTTATAAACTCTTCTGTAGCTTTTGGTTCAAAAGACCTGGATGATTTTCTGCTAGAAAATGAGGGAAATGGTCAAGTTGCCCAGGTGTTTAACGTATTTCAGAGTCAAAAAGAGAAGAATCCTGAAATTGACAAAGATGTAATAAAGTTTGGTTCTGTGAGATCAACAGGCATTTCAATTGCAGGCCAAAATGAAGAAGGGAAAGATAAGAATGGTTTGGTCATGTCTACTGAAAAAGTTACAGAGATAAAAGATCTTGGTGAACCCAAAGAAGTGAAAGCGGCCAGAGACTTTCCTGCAGCCTGTTGTCCAGTTCAGGGAGTTGATAAGGTTACTAACACAGCAGAAGGTTCTTCCAGTGCCTCAAGCAAGCCTCCAGGTACAGTCATATCGCATCCAGAAGATGTGAGAGAGATTATTGTTGCGAAAAATAATTTTCCTGAAACTGGTTTAAGCACTAAGGCCGATGATGTTGATTTGGACCCACTGGCAGACAAGGCTCCTCAGCATAGGGATTTGAATGTTGCCAGTGGTGGAACAATTGTAAAGGAGAATGAGCACATGAACACTGAAAAATCTATTGGCATTAGTGTTGTTCAACACGTAGAAAACCCAGAGCCGGATAAATCTAAGTTCAAGTTTGACAATTTTTCTGAAAGTGAAGCTGAACATAGACTTTCCAGTTCAACCAAACAACCTGGGAATATGAAAGAAGATTCCTCAAAGAATCTAGAGCAAAGTGGAATTTCTTCGAATTATGGAATGAAGGAATCAATAGAGAGCTTCTTCACCTCAACAAATCTGCCGGAGAAAAGTCCACAGACATCTCAGGTGAGCAGTGCCATTATCTATCATTTGGTCATCTTCCACTTTCCTGGATTATTGCCAATATCTATATAATTGCCGTTTTAATTGGATTCAGAATACAACTTAGTTTGAAACTTGATGGGGATCTTCATATGGCAATTCTAGTTGAAGCCAAATATATGAAAAATTTTTGGAAGACATTTTGGCTGACAAATAAAAATTCGAACTTGTCAGCTAACTTGCTGTGGTTGGTACGATCAAATAATTTTTTCAATGTTGATGGCATTGGATGCATCATCCAAGAAGCTTTCTTATTTTGTGTGTGGAGCTCAATTCGTATTTTTGTTGTTGAGAAACATTTTGGACTTGTAGTATGTTTGTCCATTAACCTTTGTTCTGGTTTAACCATTTTGCTAAATCAGTTCTAGATTCTGTCATTGTTGATGAACTAGTTTGTAAATTTTAAGATCCGTTGACTTATCTTTGACTTCAACAAGTCAACAAGTCATGCTTAGCAGCAGCAGCAATAGTAATGGTAACGCAGTCGTAGTTGATTTTCATTTTTTAAATTGTGGTTCTAACATCTGATGCAATTTTATGTTGTCTTTATAAATAAATGATTTTATTTGCAAGTACTTTAGTGTTTCTAGGTTTTTCAGTGGAATTGGAGTTGTTTGTTTTATGCATATCTTCTTCTTTTAAATTTTTCACCTTCTGAAAATTAAAGCCTTTCTTGTCAACGTTTGCCTGTTAGGGCAATAATTATTCACTGCAAATGGTTATAACTTGGATCTTGTGTTTCACTGAATGTCGCAGATAGAGAATTTTGAGCCAAATGAATTTTATGATGAGGTTGTCCATGAAATGGAAGAAATTTTACTAGATTCTGTTGATTCTCCTGGGGTTAGGCTTTCTCAGGGTAATAGATATCATGAGCCACAGTTTTCCATGCCTTTAAGAGATGGCGGGTTGACAGCATCTACTTCTGGTACTGATGATGCTTATCTTCTAGTTCAGCGCCCTGGGCGAATAGATAGGATTGAAGTGGTAGGTGCCAGGCAGAAGAGAGGAGATGTTTCTTTAAGTGAAAGATTGTTGGGGGTGAAGGAATATACTGTCTATAAAATAAAAGTGTGGAGCAGCAAAGGTCAGTGGGAGGTTGAAAGACGATACCGTGATTTCCTCACTCTTCACCGTCAGATAAAAACCTTATTTTCTGATCACGGATGGGATTTACCTTTGCCGTGGTCTTCAGTTGAGAAAGAATCCAAGAAGATATTTGGAAGTGCATCTCCCGATGTTATTGTGCAGAGAAGTGTTCTCATTCAAGAGTGCTTACAATCCATTCTCCACACCAGGTTTTATTCAAGTCCTCCAAGTGCATTAATTTGGTTTTTGTCCCCTCAAGGTTCATGTCCCAGTCCGCCTGCATCGAGTCCACTGGTGGCTCAGTCTTCTATAATGGGAGGGACAAATAATGGAAACCTTTCCTCGTTAGGGAAGACCATATCACTTATAGTTGAAATTCCACCGAACAAATCTATGAAACAGATGCTAGAAGCACAACATAACACATGTGCTGGATGTCATAAGCATTTTGATGATGGAAAAACTTTGATTCGGGGATTTGTTGAGACCTTTGGATGGGGAAAGCCCCGAATCTGTGAGTACAGTGGTCAATTATTCTGCTCTTCTTGCCATACAAATGACACTGCTGTCTTGCCAGCCAGAGTTTTACATCAGTGGGATTTTACTCAGTATCCAGTTTCTCAGCTGGCAAAATCTTATCTGGATTCTATACATGATCAGGTAATGTTAAGATCTATCAACTGCATTTTATGGATAGCATCTTTTTTATTTCTCAGGTATGTGCATGCTTATATCAGAGGTTCTGATAGAGCCCCCAACTCTAATAAGCACAAATAGACAACAAACAACGTGAGACTCTAATAATGCTTAGAAGTTACTTGTATAGTTCTCTAGTTTTTGTTTCTGGGCATGTTAGCACGTTAACTATTCTAAATGAATTTTCTCTTGCAGCCCATGCTTTGTGTCACTGCAGTTAATCCGTTCCTTTTGTCAAAGGTCCCAGCCTTGCTTCATGTTATGAACGTCAGGAAAAAAATAAGGACTCTTCTTCCATTTGTCCGATGCCCATTTCGGAGGTCTATCTACAGAGGACTTGGGACTCGGAGATATCTTGTTGAAAGCAATGACTTTTTTGCTCTGAGAGATCTTATTGATCTGTCCAAAGGAGCCTTTGCTGGTTAGCTTTTAATTGACTAACTGCTTTCTGTGCCTCTAATGGAAGTTAACTTCACCTTTTATGTACTCGTACACGCACATCTATATGTTTAGCATATCTCTCTTTTTGTTAAATGTGGAGACCTTGGTCATCCCTCTGATCAATATTTAGTTTTGAAGTGGTTTTGCTGCCTTGAGTGTCCCTGATGTAATAATCTGTTGATGCAGCCCTGCCAGTTATGGTTGAAACCTTGTCATCTAAAATCCTGGAACACATCACTGATCAATGCCTCGTATGCTGTGATGTTGGTGTTCCATGCAGTGCCCGACAAGACTGTGGCGATCCGTCTTCTCTCATTTTCCCTTTCCAGGTGTGTCTCTACCTTTAGCTGTGATAATATTGGACAGTATTAAAAAAGAAAAAAATGTTCCTTTTTTGTCCCCGGAAATGAAATATACTATGTGGCTTTGGAAGAAATTGCCTATCTTTTTTTAATTGTAATGGGGCACCTCTTAAGTGCAGGATGTGCTTTAGATAATGAGTGGCAGTGGTAGCTAGTCTGAAAAATCTTTCAATTCAGATATTTTTATGAACTTCAGGCAACTGAATAGATAAAGTGAGGATTGCTTCTTAAGGGATCTGAATTGTTTCAAAATAAGGCCCTTCTTGTGATTATAATTCCGACATGTAAAGCCAATAAACAGAGATCCTTTGGATGCTTTTCGCAACGAGTTAGTGGTGGCAGTGTTTTTTTGGACAGCTCTGAGGCTCCTGTCTAGCCAGTTCCTTTATTTTCTATAAAAATTACCCATGCAGTGAAAATTCGTCCAATGTATCCCACATTTTGTCTTCATCGAGATGTTTCTTTATTTTGCGGAGAGCTTCATAGTCAGTCCCATCAGTGCTTTCCTTCTGGGGACCCCCGCCCTTTACCTCATTTCTGTTATGCGTTTGAGTTTGTCTGAATGAATGAAAAATGTCGTCCTAATTTGAGACCAAATTTATCAGCAGGAAGATGAGATTGAAAGGTGTAAAGCTTGTCAGTCAGTATTCCATAAGCAATGCTTCAGAAAGCTCTCCAATTGTACCTGTGGGGCGCTCCTCAGATTGGATAAAACAAGAGGAAGTTCATACTTTTTAGGGAGGGGCCTTTCTTATGGGTCGTCATCCGGATTCCTATCTGGCTTGTTTACCAAGGAAGATCCTCACAAGACCAGGGATCATAAAGACATTATCTTGATGGGTTCCTTACCTAGCACTTCTCTATGAACCCCAGTACGTTGATGGGTTCTGTCTATATCTCATCTTGATCTGCTCAGCCATTCACCGTTTGTTGCATGTAAAGATGTTTTGTGCAGTGATCAGAATTTTTCCGCACAGTCATTATTTCTTATTTTGCTAGTGTTATTCTTTGCAACATAAAAATTTATGTACAGTTTTGTGGATCTCAGCATCCAGTTTTGTCCTTACTCGCCTGTTTTGTAATTTTGTTTAAATTCCTTGCTGAATAAAATTCTAGCTTTTATCAGATTCTCAGACGGGACTAGCATTATTTTCGTTTAATGGATCCTCATGGCCAGTTGTTCGAAATTAAAACTGGGCTGTTGAGCATGAATCATTCACTGGTGAAGCGCATGTTAATGTCCATTGGAAAATGAAGCATTTTTTAAATCAGGGAACATTGAGACGGACAAACCAGTTCAGGTTAGAAATTTGATATATTTTTGCATTGGAAGTGAACGAGTAAATGAAATCGAACTCAGAAACTTAGCAGAGCATTCAAGGTTGTATCACTCAGCAGAAAAACATGCGATGTCAGTCCTGAATATAACTTGAATCTGTTTTATCTTTTATATTTATATTTTTTTTTCTCAAATTAATTTATTTAATTTATAAATTGATATAATTTAATATTACATAAAAGTATTTTAAAAAGATTACGTCACATTTGTTAAAATTAAATAATTTATATAGCTTTCTTAATCAATAAAAAATTTGTTAAATAATCTTAATATATTTTTTGAGCTGAATAAGTAATTTTAATATTAAAAACCAGATAAGTAGTAAGTTGAGAGATAAATTTGAAAAGAATTTAAAATCATTCAAACATAGAAAAACTTTTTATTTGTGTAATTTTGATAAATATGTATTATATTTAAAGACAATGAGTACATAAACACGCTGCCATATTGAGGTTGTTTGAGACATAGGTATTCCTACCTTTGCAAAATGAATTCGTTCTTGTTGAGGTAGAGGTAATGCAGAGCAGAATATAATCTAACATCTACAATTGATTTCAACCTTGCGATTTCAATAAATCAATTCAGCAATACATAATTCTTTTTGTCCAAGGATCAACAGCATAAAAATCAGCTAACCATAATTCACAATATAATATATAATACATCCCGTGTGAAAAGCAGCCGTTGCAATTTCGCCCTCTATGATCGTTTCCAGGTGACCCGTTCTTCATTTATCAAAGTTCTGCGAAATTGTAGAAACCGCGGGGCAATCTGACAGCATCCTCTTCAGCTCGGCCTAAAATTTACTGAGGTATTTATTCCTCACAACTTAATAACTTCACAATTAAATAATGCAAAATAATTATCGCAAAAAAAAAAAAAAAGGCAAATAATTAAGCTGCTTGGGAACGTTTGACAAAGTTACTTCCCATTTCATGCTGGGGAAGCTACGTTTGCAATCTCACATGGTATCGCCGTCATCATCTCCGAGAAAAGAGAGTGAAAAGGGAGCAATTGCCACATTAAATGATGGGGATGAGCCTCTTCTATCGACGTAGATCATCTCAAAGTCACCTTCCTGCATTATAGTGTTGGCATAAATCATGAACCAAACAAAGCAGATGTAACTAATGGATTTAAAACTACTGAGAAACATCCAAATTTCGATATTGAACAACATAGCCGTGTAGCAGTTTCTACTGCATCAAATAAACATCGAAGATTGTGCGTTCAATGGCCTTCGTTTAGAGTTTTTCTTTAGCCTTCCTGCTCCAATTTTCATGACCAGCCCTCTGTAGTGTTTGAAACCCAATGCAAACTCGAGTTTATGTCGTGTGTTTATTTCTAAAGCCAGGAAAGTGAAGCTCCAGAAGTGATTCTAAATAATGATTTTATCGGATGAAGCACAGAAATCGATATCCATGAACTTTTGACGTCTTCTGATGGAAAAGGATTAATCTTATTATTACCATATACCACAAACAATAGTATATGGACACTGAAGCTAAATTAGCTCTTATCAGTCAATAGGGTCAACTGTTCAAAATAACAATAAAAGCTTCCTTACCATTCTACCACTCGGGGTGTTTAACGGGCATCCTGAGGAGTACTCAAAACCAGTCCTAGGAAGTATAACTGGCTGTTCACCAACATCCCCGATCCCCCTGTCATAAAGAATATAGAGGTTTATTTGATTGATTGAATGTCGTTTTGTTGATTTGGTCTGTTTGAATCTACATGAACAGATAGGATATATATTATTTTGCTCGAGATTCTGAAGAGTCTGTGATCAACTACTAAAATAGGGAAGAAAAATTACACAGCTCTCTAAGCGGATAGACTTCTTTCTACTTTTGCAAAAATTAAATGTAACCGGAAAGTTTGAGAATAAAGCATAGAGAAAAGTAATTTACTTACCAAACGTTTTCTGTCTTTCCATTAGCATTAGTTATAATCCAGTGCCTTCTAAAAAGTTGAACGGGGAGGTCTGAATTATTGGTAATTCTTATTCTGCATGCAAAGAAGTATATCCCTTTCGAAGGTCGACTTCTGCCCTCTATATAAGCACTGCTAACTTGAACCCTTATTCCCTAAATAAGTCGAGATTTATTAATGTTAAGAGTTGGAGATTTATTTGTTTACAAGCATTTGATGCCTCAAACACAATACAGATTTTGACGCTTTTCCCTTCATATTAAACACATTCTTGTAGAAGGGGTCAAATGCCTCAACCCACCGCCCCCCCCACACACACACACAACGAAAATCCAACATATATCAATTGAGGAAAGGAGCTACCCGAATCTGAACCAATTAGCATGAAAAACAATTTTACAAAAGCAGCTTCATTTTTGTTTTATTGAACATCAATCCCTCAAGAAAGGATCTTGGGGACTGGTAAACTCATTATAGTATGGATAACAATTTCTGCTTAGAAAATTTCAGAAGACACATACCGAGGTTGTGGCATCACTGGAACATTTTAATAGAGAGTGGGGGGCAATATCTTTTAGCCCATCTCGGTATCTAGCTGCATCCTGAAAAGAAAAAGGTTAAACAAGTTTATCAAAAAAATAATAGGACTTGAAATCAAGCCTTTTTTTTTTTTAAATCGAATTAGGTAGTCTTTTCTGTGCTATTTACTTCGAATTAACCACCAAATCGCATGTAATATCCGCAAATTAGGTACCTCAAACCTTTCATCAGCAATCGCTTCCCTCATCAATCTTCGCAGATGCAGAACTGGCTCTTCCTCCTCGAACAATTTTAGTGAATCTCGAATCCTTGCCGCTTCTTTGTAATCCTATCCAAAGTAAACGCAAAATTGTTCAAGATCACCACTCCGTGAGAATGAAGATTCTAATAATCTAAACCCACACACACAGAATCCTTGCCGCTTCTATTTTCTATATCTTCCTTTCAAGTTGCACAGATTGGAAGACCGATTTCATCAATAACTCTAACCTCGGATCTCGCAGCTACTTCCAATTGCTGCTTCAAGAGGGCGTAGGAGTGGGACAAAGAGGGAATCGAACCGGTCGGTCTTTGACTCTGCTTCTGACTCTGACTCTGACTCATACTCCGACTCTCTCTGGGGCCATTCCCATCCCTTTCTGCAGCAGCACACGCTATGGCGATCATATTTCTTCTCCTAACGTTTCTGGGATCCACCCACTGCACCCTCAACCCCGCCTGGGATTCCCCGAAACCCAAGCTTCCGGGACCCAGAGCCCGTAAATCCAAGAAACTCTGGACGCTTAATAACTGCATTTTCCTTATTCCACAATACTGGCAACAATCAGAATTTTGAATTCTCCCAGAAATCGCGTAGGCAGCTTTACTATACAGCTAGTAATCCAGTCGGATCAAGATCAAAATAGATTTTTTATTTCCCTTTTCGAACAAGAGTGCGTGGTTCAGGTCAGTAAAAGCACGTTTTGTCCGTTGTGCGGTTTTCTGCTTTGGACAGCGATGGGTTTAGCAACGTCTTCTGGGTCTGGCTGCTGAATTATTATTATCCAGATGGAGCTCTGAAATGACTGAAGACATGAGATCGGGAGCAAAAGATAGGATTTCCCGCGGATCGTGTCTGAAATAACGAAATTTTGATGGTTGCAAAAGACTCGCAGCCAGAAACAATCTAGCGGGTTCAGATACTTTTTGTGCTTGGGGTCCAGCAGAAAAAGATAGAGGCATCTTGTCGGATTGGAGTTTGCATGAGATATTTATATTTATCCCCTCGCTTCCATTATTGGCATATCTCGGAGATTTTTATTTTACTCGCCTAAATTCTACACGCCGGGAGCTCGGGACTGAGTTCTCCGATGCTTTTATGCCCAATAGATTCAAGCCTAACAAGTTGGCTAACAATGCAGATTTCCATTGCTCAGAGCTGAAGTTGAACCCAACTGGGAAAATCTTGAGTGTGCTAATGAAGGAAAGTGGTTTGCCACCTGCATTAGAAATGCTGACATTGATATCTTCAGTCGCTTAAAACTTAGGCGGGAAACGGATGGCCTCATATCTCTACGATGTTCTGTGATCTGTCCAACCAGATGGGTTAAAATGAAAATTTGCTGGAAGTTTTTACCTAAGTTAGGTAATTTGTAGGATAATTTGCCCAGAAAACTTGCATTTTATTCAGTAGCTAATGACAGTATTTAAAAGCACACATCCTAAGTTATAATCTTCCCTTCGGATAAGCCATATTTACAGAATCAAAGAAACATTAAAAGGAGAATCAAATCTAATCAAAATTGCTTAATAATCTGAATCATAATCAACCTAATGATATATGCTAATAATTAGACATAATGGACCTTCCTATTGGACTAGGCCCACAGTGCCTTCAACACTCCCCCTTAAACTGGCAAATAGATGTCAATCAATTCCTAACTTTCCTCTGAACTCCTCAAATAGTGATCTTCCTAATGGTTTAGTGAATAGATCTGCAACCTTATCGTGTGTTGAGACATGCAATATTTTGATAATCCCTGCATCTTCTTTTTCTTTAATGAAGTGTTTATCAATATCTACGTGCTTTATTTGTTCATGATGACTGGGATTTCTTGCCATTCCAATAGCAGACAAACTAGCACATTTCAACTATATGGGCATGTTAGGAATCACCCCATACTCTTTAAGAACTCTAAGAATCCACAATCCTTCACACACACCATGTGCTGAGACACGTAACTCTGCTTCTGCACTACTCTTTGAGACTACTGTCTGCTTTTTGCTTTCCCAAGTCACTAGATTTCCCTACACCATAGTACAGTAACTCGATGTGGATCTTCTGTCAAGGAGGAATCCTCCATGATCGGCAACAATAATTTCTTGAGACATTCCTTTGGCAAAGAGTAACCCTCGGCCATGAGTCATTTTCAAGCAATGCAAGATTCTATTTACAGTATTCATATGCTCCTCTAACAGCTCATTTGTGAAACAACTTACCACACTAACTGCATAGCTTATATCTGGTCGAGTGCGAGATAGATATAAAAGTTTGCCTGCTAATCTTTTGTCCCTTTCAATATCAACAGTACTGACATCTTCTTAGGTTTGTCTTTCTTCTTTTTGTAGTCTTTTAAGTTCTCAATTGATTCTTCTTCCTTCTCATCCATTTCACTGGTTTGTTCCATGGGTGTATCTGCTGGTTTGGCTCTCAGTATTCCTGTTTCTTTTAGAAGATCTAGAGTATACTTTCTTTAGGAGACTACAATTCCCTCCTTGGATCTTGCCACCTCCATTCCTAGAAAATATCTGAGTCCTCATAGGTCCTTGACCTCAAATTCTTTCTCTAGTGACTGTTTGACCTTTACCGTCTCAGATGTATCATTGCCCATTAGTATAATGTCATCAACATAAACAATCAGTATAGCCAGTTTACCTCTAGATTTCTTGACAAACAAAATATGATCTGCTTGACACTGGATGAATCCTACCCTTTTAACAGCTTTGGAAACCTCTCAAACCAGGCTTTTGGTGACTTTTTTAGACCATAGAGTGATTTGTAGAATTTGCATGCCATTCCAGGGTTGTTGTGCTCGGCTAACCCTTGAGGTACTTCCATGTACACCTTTTCTTCTAAGTCTCTATTTAGGAATGCATTCTTTACATCAAGCTGATGTATGGGTTAGTCTAGGTTTGCAACAAGTGACAAGAGGATTCTAATAGTGTTTAACTTCGTAACAGGGGCAAAAGTTTCTTGATAATTAATATCACAGGTTTGTGAATATCCTTTTGCCACTAGTCACGCCTTGTATTCATTTATTGTTCTATAAGGATTGTATTTCTTTGTAAATACCCATTTGCACCCCACAGTCTTCTTCCCGTTTAGTAATTGGGTAATTTTCTAGGTTTGAGTTTTATGTAGTGCCTTGAGTTCATCTGCTATGGCTTCCTTCCAATTTGGATCAGTAATAGCCTCATAAAAGTTTCTGGGTAAGTTTTCATTAGATAGCTGTGTGACAAAACTCAACATAGGAGGTGACAATCGATTATAGGACACAAAATTACTAATAGGATGTTGGGTGCATTTTCTTACCCTTTTTCTCAAAGCAATGGGCCACCCAAGATCATTAGAGCTTGAAGTTGGTGTTGTATCATGGCACAGTCCAGCTCTAGAGGGTTTGTCTTGGTGGCTTATCTCTGGTTCATTGTCTAGGTCAATGCCTCCATGCTCATTACGTGGGTTGGAGTTATCATGATCTTCCTTTTCTATGCCTTCAGGAATATCAGTTTCCAAATTAGGTAGATTAGGATTTGTTGTAGGCTCGGCTAGAGCTGGTAGTGTAGGGCTAGGCAGATTTGGTCTCAAGTTAGGTGATTCTGGGCTAGGCAGGTTTAGTCTCAAGTTATGAGAGTCTAGGTTTGCTGTTAGGGAATTTAAAACCTCTCGTTCTGTCTCTCTCCCCTTGAATAGGTGTTTTGTGGTAGTAGCTTTGATTTTTTGTAAAGGTTACGTTCATAGTTATAAAAGATTTTTTAAGGATAGGAGAGAAACATTTCTAGCCTTTTTTAGTGGTAGAATAGCCAATAAAGATGCACTTATGGGCACGAGGTTCAAGTTTTCCACCATGATCATTGTGAACATAGGCTATACAACCAAAGGTTTTTTCTGGGATATTTGTGAAGTGGTGCGAATTTGGATATGTTTCAGTCAATAGCTGGATTGGCATTTTGAAGTTCAATGTTTTTGAAGATAGGCGGTTAATTAGGTATATGGCAGTGAGTATTGCTTCTCCCCAATAGAATTTATGGACATTATGAGTAAGCATAATTGCCCTTGTTACCTCTAATAGGTGGTGGTTTTTTCTTTCTGCCGTTCCATTTTGTTGTGGGGTGTTGACACAACTGGTTTGGTGAATAATGCCATGGTCTTTTAGGTAGGATTAGAGAGTAGACTTTAGGTATTCTGTGCTATTGTTGCTTCTCAGGGTTTTGATGGAGGTATCATGTTGGTTTTGGATCATTTTGTGAAATTTTTGAAAGGTTTTTATTAGGTCAAATTTTGTTTTTAGCAAATAAACCCAAGTTACCCATGTGTGATCATCTATAAATATGACAAACCATTGTGAATTTGTAAGAGTAGTGATATGTGAGGGTCCCCTAGGTCACTGTGTATTAGGGCAAAGGTTGAGATGCATGGCAGGCTTGAGCAGGATATGTATGCTTTGTATGTTTTGACAGTTGGTAGATTTCACAAGGAATAGAAGAATTACTAGGAATTTTATTCATCAAATCTGGAAACAATTTGGCCATATATTTGTAACTTGGATGGCTTAAACGATAGTGTAATAACAAGATCTCATCATTCTGAACAGAAACAAAAGAACCAGTTGTTATTTTGTCTCTTGAGGCATCTTTATTCGTCCATGATTGTTCCTTTACGCAACATAAACCCTCTAGCAACTTAGCTACGCCAATCCTCATCCCTGACTCCAAGTCCTGAAACAAATAGTAAGAGGCAAAGAAGTTTACATTACACAACTAAGCCGCGTAGCCTTAGTAACAAATATAATATTGCACTTTAAATCAGGTGCATATAAAACATTTGTGGGAGTTAATTTTCCAGATACCCATGCTTCATCAATGCTGTACACTTACAAAAATTTCCCAACAGCAACTTTAATAAACATAGGATGGGGGTATGCTTTGATATGTTGAATAAAATTTATATCACCTGACATATGATCAGTAGCCCTAGAATCTACAATCTATATACTTTCTCGATGTACTTCAGTTTTAAGGGCTAAAATAGTTTTACCTGTGAATGCTACATTACCAATTGCTACCATGGCGTCTTGGGTGTCACACTTATCTAGGGGCTTTTGTAAAAACTCTATATTTTCTTTCTTCAGTTTGTCACCAAGATCAGATTTAGAACCTAAAGTGGCAGCATATGCCCTGCCTTCTCTGCTCCCTTTTCTTTTGCTATTTGGTGGCTTGCCATAGAGCTTCCAACATACATCTTTGGTATGTCGTGCTTTCTAACAATGTCATCATTTATTGCCCCTGTTTTCTTTATTTTCATTCGGTTGTCCCCCTTTAGAGTAAAAGGCACCAGTCTCTGTATCACTAGGGCTTTGTTGTTTGGGAACCAAGAGTTTTAGTCAGCTCTCCTCCTGCTTGGTGGTGAAAATGACCTCATGCAAACTTAGGAGTGATTCTTGTCCAATGATGCGTCCTTTAGTGGCATCATATGTAGAGTCGAGGCCTAGCAAAAATTTATAAATCCTCTTTTCTTCTTTTATTTTACAATACAACATCGCATCAGTCGTATAGTTCCATTCAATTGCTTCATACGAGTCTAATTGTTGCCACAGCACATGTAAGTTAGTCCAATTTTTAGTGACTGAGAGATTTTCCATTTTAAGGTTGTCCAGGTTTATCTCTATCTCCAGGATTGTAGCCTGGTTTTAACCAGGGCAAACATGTCACGTGCAGTGTCCTAAACGTCCTTGGCTGACTAGAACAAGGAGAAACTTGCGCTGATTTATGTTGTCATCGAGTTAAGTAGCCAATACTGGACCATCGAATTTTTAGTTTCCTATTCGCCATATGACTTGTCAGTGAGTGCCGGTCTGGGCTTCTTCCCTGTCAGATAATCAAGTTTGCCTTTTCTGGTCACATATAGTCTCATACCGGTCGACCATTATAGGCAGTTATGGCCATTAAGTCTATGGTTGGTAATCGCAACGGACTAGGCATCAGTTGGAGCTTGTTGTTTCGTCCCCTGGTTCTTGGTAGTTGTGACGTTATGCGCTGACGGGAAGGGACCACTTTGGCCTTGGGGATCCAATCCAAAATTGAATTAGATCATGGTGATCAGTGTCACTCTGATACCATGTAGGATAATTTGCCTAGAAAACTTTCATTTTATTCAGTAGCTAGTGACAGTATTTAAAGGCACACATTCTAGGTCATAATCAGCGTAATGATATCTGCTAATAATTAGACATAATGGACCTTCCTATTGGGCTAGGCCCATAGTGTCTTCAAGATAATTAATTTTTTGGAGATGCAAATCTACCTAAAAAGTTTGGAATCAAAGCAATTTTACTTCATACTAGTAAAAAATGAACATTAATAATTAAATAGCAACGTCAACCATTAATATTATGAGAGGCAAAAACAGAAAACTACAACAATTATCCAAATTACCTTTCTTGTTCCCTTTTAAGTCCAAATGAGTTGGGTTTACAAGACCTTGGGAAGAAATTTGCCATAGTAAAAAAAAAATCATTCGCAAAATTTTAACAGTTAATATTAATTTTTTAATGGTAAGAAGCAATATTATTGTGATTTTAAACTTTCTAAATAAATTTATACCTAAAAAACACTCTCAAGTACCAAATGTTTCTAAGTAAAAATTTTCAGAATAAATTTGTATTAATCCTTTTTAAAAATAGAACTAAAGAAGAGGATTCCTAAACCAAAATCTTATAGTTCAAATTTAGTAGTTCATTTTAGTTCAAAAAACCTCGCAAAATAAGTTTAGGAAGTATTTACAATCTATGGAAATCAAAGTCTAGTGGCGCATGGCTCATATCAAAATTCAACCATATGAAGGAGTTAGGCACTTGAGACAAAAAAACAGTGAAATTTTATCCTTCTAAACACAACATAGGGTCTTCCAATACTACCAAACAGAGTGGTAATTTTTATTTGAATAGACGAGAATTAAGATTTTATCATAACACTAAAATAAATTTTACAATATTTGTGTCTTTTTGAAATTAATATCATTAAATTAATCAATAAATTTTAAAAAATATTTACTCAAATATTAGTTTATTATTCATGAAATTAATATTTGATATCACTTCAAGGTTTATAATAATATTTGTTAAATTTGTATATTTAGTCAAATAGGATTTAGACTGTGAATTGAAATTGAAATCAAACTATAACTGTATATGATAAAAATTTTATGAAAATTATGCTATTGATCTGTCACGAATTATATACAAGCCGCTTCATACTCCATGTAAACCAGAAGCCCACAATTTTGTTAATTTTTTCCGGGCGTCTGAATTAATGGAAAATTAAACCGGGAAGAATAGTAAAATAGGTTAACCAACTTTTCTTAGCCTCTCTTAGGTTAGTGGTCCAACTTCCTCCTTCATCTTAGGCCCAACCCAAATGGGCCCACAAGCACCTCTCTGGAGAAATCCAAAGGAAGCAAAATGACAATCTAGTGAGTCAACACAGGGCAGGGCGACATCCGGATTCAGGGCACACCAGCAGGCAGGGACTGAAATAAAGAAAGGCGAAAATGTGACTCGGTGGGAAAACGAAAAGATAGCTGATGAAGGCGATGATGAGCAAGATTACTACTATCTCAACGCTACCATTATCACCAACACCACCAACATTTACTTGTACACATGGAATCATCATCTTTCTTCGCTGCAACTACTTGCATTTCCATTTCCACCAACACCTTTCTTACCGCGAAACGCCAACGCACTTTCTGACTACTACCCATGGTAGCTATAATGCTCCTCTCTGCTCCATCTTTCTAATATCGGCCCCCGCCAATCCTGATCTTCCCGTGTTTCCAGGAAAATGCCCAAGAAGTGTAAGCTTTCTTTTTGTTCTGGATGATCGGATGTTTCGGGGTTGTCCTAAATTATGTTGTTTTTTTTTTTTTAATTTCTAAATATCGTTTACTTGAGATTCCATTGTACAAATCTGAGTGCGGACTATTTTGTTGCTATAATCGTCAAATGGAGATGCTTGTTTCCTTTCTCCTCTTTGTTTTTGGGGTTTCATAAACATGTCATTGGATTTTCCGATTGGATTTGATTTAGTAAAAGTAGCTTCTTGATTCTATGGGATCATGGCAGACGGCCTGGTCTTTGCATAATCTTTTTTTGTACTTATTTTTGTCATTGCTCACTCCGTTGGCCTGTGAGAACCTTAGAAGAAAGATAGGCGTTTAGTTTTTGTTTGAATTTCATTCTTTCGTTTGTATATGATTCTCATTGTTGAGCTGGTTGTAATCTGCTAAATTTTCATAGGATTTATCAGCATTTAGTAGAGGCCTGCATGTTCATATATTACAAGGGAAATGGTATTTCAAATATGCGGAGGTGGCTTAAATCTTGCTGTTTTAAACTGGTTTCTTCTGAAATATGTATATTCTTTGTTAACGAGTGTGTTATTTTTTTTATTTTAAATGTGTATGCCTGTTAATTTTTCAAAACAAGAAAATCCTAAATCATGTTTTGCAACAATTTCGCTTGCCTATATAGATGTATTAAACTCTGATATTTTATTTTATTTTTTTTCCTTTTCTCTTTTTAGGAACATGTTTGAAGGGGACAATGTTTATCCCATGTTCTCCTCTTCTGTTAGGAGAAATAGGTTGCAGTATGATACTGAGGGAATTCCGCTGCAATTGTTTGGGGACTGTAAGTATTTCCGAGAGGCTGACTTCTGCTTTGTTACTTCCTTTCTTAATCTGACGTGTTTTTCAATTTGTACCTCTGCAATATGCATTAGTTGCTTGTCAGATGTTATATTTTGCTTTGTTTTGCGCTCTACATGAATGCAACACAAAAACTTACTTATTTTTTAATTCGTACCTTTGCATGCTTTTCTTGATTTCTAGTTTCTTGCTCACCCTGCATTTTCTCAGAAATATTTTCTTCTGCTTCGACATATTGGTCATATACTCACATTCACTGACAAGTATTTGACTTTTTGTTTCTTCTCTTTCTAAACTTGGAACTTTGGATACTCTCCTTGAACTGATTATAGTAGTGGTACTTGTGTACCGATTATCTCTGTTAGTGTCTTTATTCAGTTTGCTGAAGAAAATAACATAATAACTTTGTCACAGCTCGAGTTGGGTGCAACATTGGTTCCTTAAACTGTGAAGGAGTTGAGCATAATCCTCTTACTGAAACAGCGAGAGGAGTTGTAGAAGTAGGATCACTGTCCAGAGAGCGCAAGCATCCAATATCTGTTAATAATAAATCTTTCCATGACAATGTTGGCCAGTCTGGATATGTCCCAAACATGGTTTCCACTGGTCTGAGGCTTTCATGTGAGGAAGATGATCCCAATTCTGCTGTCACTTCTGCCAGCAAAGGCATTAAAGCGACACTTCCTATAATTTTGTCCCTTGATGATAATCTAAAGGTTGAAATTGATCAGCAGAAAAAAGAGCTTGATTGTTATATCAGGTTTCAGGTAAGGAAACCTTTTCATTCCTTAATTATTTCCCTTCTGGTATGGTTATGGTGTAGAATTTCTTGCAGAATAACAAAATCTCTCTAGTTAGACCTAGTGATTTCATGGGTTTCATTCTTTTCCAAATAAGTTTAGATGGAACCTTTTTTGTTGCTGCTATGCAATAACAAGAACTGATAGTGAAGCTTAACTCTGTTTATTCAGGAATATGGTATCTTGTCTGGTATTGTTGTGGCTTGTATTGGATTCCTCGTGTAAACTGATAATCAAAGTAGTTTGTATGGCCATCCGTGTGGAAATTAGTGCGTAATGTTTAGCATGTAACCAGAACGATGATTCTGTTTGCTGGCAGAATGCATATTCACATCTTACCATGATCATATTCAACAGGAGGAGAACACCATCAAAGGTCTGAGAGAACTGAGGCTAAGACACATGGTTTCTTTTCTGAGTGCCATTGAGAGAGGAGTTAGCAGGAAGCTGTATGAAAAAGAGCTAGAAATAGAGAATATGAATAACAAGAACCAAGAGCTATTAGAGAAAATGAAGCAAGTTAGCATGGAACTTCAATCCTGGCAGTTCAGAGCGAAATATAACGAGTCTGCAGTTAATGCATTGAAGAACAACTTACAGCAAGTCATGGCCCAATGTGTTATGCGTGGAAAAGAAGCTCATGGCGATAGAGAAATAGAGGAGGTAGCTTCATGTACGAATACAGGTTATCAAGGAGTTACTGAGCATGCTGGAGATTCAAACTCCTTCAAGAGGCAGATGAATTGCAGGGCTTGCAAAGTCAAAGAAGTGTGTGTTTTAATGTTGCCTTGCAGGCATTTGTGTCTCTGCAAGGATTGTGAAGTATTTATTGATATATGCCCTGTCTGCGGGATCATGAAGACTGCGAGTGTTGAAGTAATTATGTCATAAGAATATAATTTTAGTGAGGCTACGGTTATGCATCTGTGTGTAGTTGTGATGACTCGTCATTAACGAACCCCTCGAAGTTACCGAGTGATATGGATACCTGTAAAATGTGAGATGGCGTATTTCTTCGAACTCAGGAACACGAGGAGGGCCTTATTTTCAGGGTATTTTTCTCAGTGATCCGATACGGCTTAAGTGAACAATCTTCATTTTCATTTTGAAAATATATATCTTCCCCTCTTGTAATAATAGTACAAGTATTCGGATTAAACTCACTATATGAGGAATCCATTTCTGCTTCCAGGCGATTGATAAAACTTCACGTATTTCAGTCTACGAAAATTAATTTTTTGAACCGCTGGATTGTAATTTGGTGTATTTTTGATAATTTTACCTCAATTGTAACTCAATTCTTAAGTACAATTTAATTTATATAGTGTAGTCATTTAAAAAATTAGTTTTTATATTTTCAAAAGTTACGTATTTCATGGAGTTTAAATATTAAGGTTTTAAATGATAAAAATTATAAGGACTGAGCAACTGTGCGTTAAAGTTTAGAGATGAAGTTATAATTTTATTAAATTTATAGGAATTGAGTTAAATTGAGTTATGATTAAGCCTCTAATCTTTTTTTTATCAATAAAAAAATTTACAGCTTCTAACACAAGTAGGTTCAAATTTTATTACCCCAAAAAATTGAAATTCACTCATCACTCCTGAAAGTTATTAGAAGCTTCTCTGCGTGTGTGTGTATGTGTGTTAATCTCCAAATTGTCCTTATGGGGACAAATTAATCTCAAAATTAGAATATTTATTAATTTTTTTTGGCTGAATTCAGAGTATTTAATACTGGTAGTAGTGGCTTTTCAAAAGGGCTTTAACATTGATCCTCCATATACACATTTCAAAATTAGAATATTTATTTTAATCCCAAAATTCCGACGTTTCTTCCCAAATCTCAAAAAATAGGCACCCCACTGTGAGTGGAACATCCAGCATCTTTGAATCTGGATTCATTGCGATTTGAACCCGCAACTATAAATTCCATTTATATTTATATTTCAGGACAAAAAATGATCTGAGCTTTTACGTTACTCTGCAGGCTAACACCTCTTTCTCCCTCTTTTGGAATATTCGAGAATTAGATCCGTCCCTGAACTTCGAAAATGCAGAGCACAGCTTTCACTCTCTCCCCTTCGCTTACTCTTCACAGACCTCGCGGACCTTTTTCCTGCAATCGCTTCGATCCTCCACACCTTTCTATCTCTGCTTCCTCTTCCAAGCCCAATGAAAGCTCCTCCTCCTCGTCCTCGTCTTTCCATCGCCGATATTGGTCCGTTGCTTCTTCTTCCTCCTCATCCTCTTTTAAGTTCAGGCCCTTGACATCTTTGCCCACTCCTGCTTCCTCTGATTCTGATGCTACTACTCGGTTTGAGGCCCGGGCCACTTCTGTGCCTGAAAGCGCGGACGAGAGTCCCAACGCCTTATTCAAAACCCTGCAGCTTGGATCCTTGTTTGGCCTTTGGTACCTCTTCAACATATACTTTAATATCTACAATAAGCAGGTATTCAATCTCAATTCCTATCTCAGAACTACTTTGTTCTTTCTTTTTTTGTTTTTTGTTTTTTTTTACCATTTTAAGATTCCCGAAGAAAAGCTATGGAGATTTTTCCGTGAATTATTTTTTTCCTTAGTTGCTTTTGGTATTAAACGGCCGAAAATTTATGCAATTGTGAACCATAGTCTGTGTACGGTGGAACTGTTGAGAATGCGTCACATATTATTGGTGCTTTTGGACTTTCAAATTATGCCATATTAATTCAACATCTCAGTCCGGATTCCGATATGCTGAAATGTTTCCCGTTTGTTTGCTTGTCGATCGTCTTTTGTTTTTTTTGGTTAATGGTCTGATAATTGATAGATGTTCTTTGGAAGACTTTCGGATACTATCAACTAATTTTCGCCAGAAGGTAGACATTGACATATAGTATTAGTCTTCAGAGGCTCGTAGTTGAAATCCATAAGCTCCCGATTACAAATGGTGGATGGACAAACTTATGAATGAGGAATTAATTCTTGTTGAAAGATGTCTCTGTTTCCGGAGATTTTGAGGTAGTATTTAAACTTTTACTATTTTCCTTGCTCACAGGTCTTGAAGGTGTACCAGTTTCCAGTAACTGTCACTGCTGTTCAATTTGCTGTCGGGACTCTCCTTGTCTTATTTTTATGGACTTTTAATCTCTATAAAAGGCCTAAAATAAGTGGTTCCCTGGTATTTGGCTTTGTGCTGAATTATCTATTCTATCTTATATTCATTATTTGGGCCTTTTCTTGGGTTGGTGTGTGTGTTTAGTAATTGACTCTAAGTGACTTAATGGCAGCTTGCAGCCATATTGCCTTTGGCTATGGTACATACTTTGGGGAACCTTTTCACTAACATGAGCCTTGGAAAGGTGGCCGTATCGTTCACTCACACTATCAAAGCAATGGAGCCTTTCTTTTCAGTGGTCCTTTCTGCTATATTCCTTGGAGAGGTGATAATACATCACTGCACCCCGTTTCTTTTCTTTTCTAGATGCAACCCCTGATATGATTTCTTATGGTCACAGAAGTGGCATTTTATGTAATTTTCTAACGAGTTATAGTTGGTAGTTATGTTAATCACAAGTAGCATATCGGTGTATTTATCATTTACTGGGCTTTGACTACTAAAGTCTAGTGTAGTCTAGTTTAGTTTCTTTTAAAGGAGAAATGAATTTTCATCATGACTAAACTTTTGCTAACCTTAGTAGCTTGTTTCACTGTCTTACAGATGCCGACTGTATTGGCGGTCGCTTCGCTTGTGCCTATTGTTGGTGGAGTGGCACTAGCGTCTGTCACTGAAGCCTCATTTAATTGGTAAGATCTTCTTTTTCGGTTCTTATACCTTAAAGGGGGTGGAGACGGAGAGTGAGCATAGCGTGATTATGGAGGAAAATAAACGGGATATGTCTTCTAATCTGCTGCTCATTCTGTGGAATACTCAAAAGGGCTGGATTTGGGAGTGCAATGGCATCTAATTTGACGTTTCAGTCTCGTAATGTTCTCAGCAAAAAGGTCATGGTTAATAAAGAGGTAATTTGCTGTATGAACACTAGTAAGAGTGTGGGATCTATTTCATTAGATATTAATTATTTGCACTAGTAAGAGTGTTGGATCTCTTATCTTACTCTCTGTCTTTTCACGAAGAAGAGAAAAAATAACAGGTGTTCTATTTTTTCTCAGGAATCAGTGGACAATATAAACCTCTTCTCAATAATAACTGTTATGTCCTTCTTTTTGTTAGCACCTGTGGCTATCTTCATGGAAGGCGTCAAATTTACCCCTGCATATCTGCAATCTGCGGTGAGTATCTTGATTATTAAAATCGATATATATTTTCTCTTATTAAGGGGAAAAAGTTAAAAATGCCGTCTGGTGCTGAGCTTTTTAATCTGTAAGCGTGACTTTCTTTTCTTTTCTTTTGGTTTTTGAAACAGGGGTTAAATGTTAGGCAATTATACACCCGAGCTCTTGTTGCTGCACTCTGTTTCCATGCATATCAACAAGTGAGTTTTCCTCTTCTATGCATTACTGTAGATTTTTCCCCTGATATCCATCTTGCATGTTGACAAAACCAGTGGTTTGACAGGAATTGTTTTTTTTCCCATTATGGATTAAGCTCATTGGTAATCTCTCATGATTCTCAAAAACTTTGTTTGAGATAGTTAGAATTCATTTTGAAATAATTAATAAACGTTATGCCATGCCAATTAGGAAGGGCATTCTGAATGTTACGTGCTGTGGGTCTTACGATGGTCTCATTGAAAGCACATAGTTCTGTTGGCCTCACTTATGGTTCTGCGCTTCTAAATGCACGCTAATACGATTCTGTATGAATGGTTTTGCAGGTTTCTTATATGATATTGCAGAGGGTATCCCCTGTTACCCACTCTGTGGGCAACTGTGTGAAGCGGGTTGTTGTCATTGTGAGCTCCGTCCTCTTCTTCAAAACACCTGTATCACCTGTTAACGCTTTAGGTAAATTTACATTCTTCTTTCATTTCGCAACAGTTAAAGCTCCTTGTTAACTTTAGCTTAACTGCTGCACAAGACACATGGTGATGAGATTTCATGCGCTTATTTTTCAACAGGCACTGGTATAGCTCTTGCCGGAGTGTTCCTTTATTCAAGGGCAAAGAGGATTAAGCCAAAGCCGAAGACAGCTTAGTGTTTCGTAAAATTGTGCTAGTCGCTTTGAGTTTATTAAAGCCGGATAATAGCTGCATTTTATAATTACTTTGTAGGTGAGGCAGGGAATTTGAGTGTTGTCATTCTTGTCCCCACACCTTTCTTTTGATTTTTCCTTCTTGCCTTGTGAATCTTATTGTTTGTAGGATGAATAGCACCTGGTTGTTCTGCTGCAAGGAAAATCTCTCATCTGCTTAAGAACTACCTTCAAGTGTTTTTTTTCGAGTGTACAAATACTATGTCACTTGCACAAATATATGTAAATAGTCTTGTTATATGGTGGGGGATGTGCTGCACAAAATGCGCCCACAAACTAATTCTCCATTTCTCCATTCCCAACTTCGGAAATTGGGGCCAAAAGATGTGAAAGGAGAATTTATGGTTATGTGATCGTCTTGGGGCTTGGCCTGCCACTACCATTCATCAATAGCTTTTTCCCCTGGACCAAGAAAATAGTGTGTCATTACTATTTTACTTGTGGCAAATGCAGGCAAAGCCATGGGATGAAATTTAGGGTATTGATAACATGATTTTGCTTTTTAAAATGAAATTATGAGATCTACTTTTGGTTCATTCATCCATACTTGGAGGAGATATTCAACTCTATAATCAATGGGGGAGGTTTATCCTCTATTTAGAATGAGATAAAACTTTTTTTAACATACTTATATATTATAAAATTGTTTTTAGAAAGCTGATCCAAACAATTCCCTAATCTCAGTTTCTCGAGATAAGCACTAGCATTTCTATATATAATCAATATGAACCATGATAATTATATAGAAGCAAACATCCATAAGATGGTATTGCTGATTTTATTTTAATTTAAATGTATATTTTACTCCATTTTTAATCATACAAAGCTAGTTGGACACCTACTAAGCCTATCAAGAAAATGTGGATGGCGCATTTAACTCATGTTAGGTAAACATTTTAATTTTTGTTTGAACTGAAGAAACATAATTGACAAATTGCTGACGGTGAGTTGTATTTAATTATTTATATCATGCAGCTACACTAAACAACATTTAAGATAACGAAAATATATATTTCTTAGTTTCATCCTAGGTGACTCCATTCCCTATTTAATGGACAACATGACCAAGAAAAACCCTTCGTTTGCAACTTTAGTCGAGAAAAACCCCAACCCCTGGGATAGAAAAAGGACGTAGGACTGCAAAACGAGACAAACTCCTCCACATATTTACTTCGTACATCATAAAAATATTTTTAAAATCATGGTTTTGATTCCATCCAAACACCCCAAATCTTATTAGAACTATAGTCGAAACAAAATGAATATACCTGTTTGCACACCATCCAATCTTAATTTTCATAAGTATAATTTGGAGAGGAACATTAATTACATTTCATAACGAAAATACATGTCAGTGTAGAAATAAAAGAACAATGAATAGCTAAGAAGGAGTAAAATTGCCTCCCTATCAACCATCCAAATGGGTATAGTCAAATTTCTAAAGTGAAGGTTACATACTCACTGAAATAAATGATATGTTACAATAGCAGATAGTAAATATATCTTCAATATTATTTATCCCCATAACCAACAAAGGCTTGCAACTTCTTTTTCCTTGGAATTAAAATTGTACCCGCACGGTATGAAACGAAAAGCAAAGAACTAAATAGCATTATAAAGTAGTATGTATGCTAGTGGATGGACTCCGAAAGACCCGAGAGGCTTTGCCAAAAGCATGGTTTCTTTCCAGTGTATTCTCTCTATACATCACTTCCACTTTAGAATTAAACTGTTTGATTAAATCTAAATAGTCTGAATTTAATAATTCATAAAAACATTATCAAAATATTGAAATATAAAAAAATAACTTTGAATGGTTTAAAATTGTTTCTGAACAGTCTAGAACTACTGTTGAGAGAAAATATAAGTAGTGGTATAAAAGCAAAGAGTAACCATGTTCGGTTTGACAATATTAATGATGAACTACATAAATAACATAACTGAAGTATTATATCTTATTCAACTTCATTCATAACCTTAATAGCAGTTACTAACATAGCAAGAACAAAAAAAAAAAAACAGAGAGAGAGGCTTGATTTGGGTCAATTAACTCATTTGAAGTTTGAGAAGGGTTTATATCCCACCATTGGATGCTTCAAATATTAATTAATGCATTCCGACTCTCCACTATAAAATTAAGACCAGGGAAGAACATGTCCTTGAAAGTGGAACATTAAGATATTGGTTAGATGCTTCCCTCATTTTCTGTTTCACTCTCTGTCATGGATCTGGAAACAAAGAGCAGAGAAAACTATGTCTCCCAGCAGCCAATGCAGTTGCAACAAATGGGTGCAAAATCCAAATTAAAAGATCTCGAGTTTCCTATTTTTGGGGTTCCTTCATCACAAGGTAATTCCCTGCAAGGTTTACTCCATATAGATCCATTTCAAGTATATGGATCTTCATCAAATCCAGTAACTGGGGTGCAAACTGCAAATTTTGTTAACCCTTTTGATAGTTTCTCCTTTGGCTGTTCATCAGCAGATTTTGATGTTTATGAGTCAAAACCATTTACTGAAAATATTAATGCCAATAAAGCTGGTCATGCACATGTTATGGAGAATTTCCACTTCGGAGGTAATAATTATAGCCTCAACGTCTCTCACGAGAGAAATCAAATGGAAATGGTGGATGCAAACCTAAGCAATTATTGTTTGCCGTTTGATCACTCTCAAGAAACCAAGCCTATGAATTTTGTAGTACCAGATGATGAAATCTCAATCATATCTCCCGATCACAGTTTTCTCAGAAGGGTTGGCTTGAATAATAGGAATAGAAGGTTATCAACTTCAATCAGAAGGGCATGCAAAGTTCGGAACAAGTCCAACGTAGTAAAGGGACAATGGTCGGTGGAAGAAGATAGGTACACACACACATATATTGAAAAGATCAATTTTTTTCAAATATAATTAATTCTATTATTATTTTCCTTTCTTCAACTTGATACTTCTTGCATTTTCTGCTCATTGCAGGCTGCTAATTCAACTGGTTGAACAATACGGAGTGAGAAAGTGGTCTCTTATTGCTCAGAGTTTGCCAGGGAGAATAGGAAAACAATGTCGAGAGCGTTGGCATAATCACTTAAGGCCTAACATCAAGGTTCTAATTTGTCTCTCATATTTTGTCATGCTTTTTCACCTACACATGTTTTCTCTTATGCGAAGCATCACTACTCTTAAAAAAAATATTCATATAAAATAAAATACACACCGAATATGATATCAATATATATATATATAATGTATAGAAATTCGTAAGTTATGAGTACGATTTAAACTCTTGTGATACATCGGTTGCAAATATATATAGTTGTGTTCTGTTTTGGCATGTTATCATTAACTTCTTCTTTTTATACTTTTAAAATGCATTGCGATTTTTTGAAATATTCTAATACATTTCAATACCTTACAAAAAATCTTGGTAATATGAAAGGAGATGCTTATATTTAGCCCACATTTGATACCTAATAATGTCTCAAACAGTATTAGACGATACTTATACTTAGCAAAAAATACACACACACACATGCAGTCCCATATATCCGATAGTGCCTTCAACTTTTTCTTGTTTTGGGCTTATGTTGCAGAAGGACACATGGAGTAATGAAGAGGATAAGGTACTGATCGAAGCACACGTAGAGATAGGAAATAAATGGGCAGAGATTGCTAAGAAGTTGCCGGGAAGAACTGAAAACTCCATTAAAAACCATTGGAATGCAACCAAGAGAAGGCAATATTCAAAAAGAAAGTGTCGCTCGAAGTGCCCTAAGCCCTCGCTTCTTCAGGAATACATCAAGAGCTTGAACTTAGACAGAAACCCACCCATAGATTATCGGAAAAGATCCTCTTCTTCTGCTAACCGTAACAACAATAACAATCCTATGACTGGTAGGAGGAAAGCATCAGCAACACCAGCAAGTGAGCAGTTTTGTCCCGACATTGACAGATTGGTTCCTACATATGACTTTAACGAGGTCGTCCCAGACTTTTGTTTCGATGAGAACATAACTTTGTTTCAAGAGGGATGCAATCTTGATTCTTTGCTTGATGATATGCCTTGTGCTCCTGATCATACTGTGCATCGAGGAGACTTTGAAGTAAAGTTGCAATTTTGTGGCGATGACGTTGTTGATAATACTATTGATCTTGATGGGGATGATCAGTTTGATTCAGAGAAATCACAGAATGAGAATGTGGAAGTTAAGCGGGAGATGGATTTGATGGAGATGATGTCTCAGATGAAAGATGTTCTTTGATGTGTTAAACTCTTGAAGGAAATTTTAAAGGATGATGATACGTACGTACAGAGCCGGATCGTCGGTGTGTCTCAGAAGCACAAACACCATGAAAGAGAAGTGCAGTTTGCAGATAAAGAATATCCAAATCCAGAAAATGAGGGAAAATAATACACCAAAAATAAATAGTGGAATAATCGCGGGAAATATTTAACATGTATATGCAGCTAAATAAAGTTTGTACTTTGATGTCTTCAACAAACAAATGAAAAAAAGAAGATTGTAAGACCTCGTTCCTAGTTTGAGGGGAAAAGATGTGCATGTGGCCTTGAAGCCACTTCCCCCCACACACACGCACACCCACACGCGCGAGCACACACGCACTGTGCGGGCTTAAAAGGACCGGCCTTGCAGGACTGAAATTTTAAAAATACCCCAATTTGCTAGGGCCCGCCCTTAAGCTATAAGGCCAGAGTTGGTCCGCGAGCTTTTGACCCGTTTAAAAAAAATACTATTTTTTATATTTATCATATTTTTTTTATAAAAATATAAAAATAAACCAATGAAATTATTAATAAAAGACATAAATATGAATAAAATTAAGTCACAAATATAAAATATCATCTTATATAAATATTCATCAACATCTAAGAACATCTAAAACATTCATTAACAAGATAACAACATCTAAAAGTTTTATCTATAATGCAATTGTGCAATAAATAAACACTATTATTAATCTTTTGAAACTTCATCATCACTATAATTAATTACTTTTTTTCATAAGTATACTTTTGTTTCGTAACAAAAATATCAAGTTTTTCTTTTTTATAAGAATTTTATTTTTAAATTTTGCAATCTAACTATTATTTTACTTTAATGTGAGAAACATTGTTGTTGAAACTCATGAATTTCTAATTCAAATTATAGAATCACAAGTTATATAAGTATAAAAATATTCTATTATCAAATATATATATATAGTTTAAAAATATTAACGCATATAATATAAATCAAATCATTATTAAAATCCAAATTAACCCATTTTTAAAAATTTAATTGGATAAATTATTATCTAAAACTAAATTTAATTTTAAAATGATAATAATAACTAAATATTTGAAATATTATTAACAATGTAAAAAATTAATAACATTAATATTATATAAAAAATTTAAAAAATAAAAAAATTATAAAAGGGTTTAAAAGGGCCGGCCCGCGGCCCTCCAGGGCTTATTTCTCATTTTAAGAGAAAAATATCTGACGATTTTCCCGGCTCTACGCACACACTTCTGCATAATTTTATGTTTATGTAAAGGTGATATTGAAAAAATCAATCAAAGGGATGATTTGGCTTTGAAAAAAACAAAGGATATAAGCTGCAACAAAAGAGATGACGTCTGCGGGAAGGGCGCAACGGTAATTATCGAACTTGTTTAAGAGCCTACTATTATCAGCTTAAGTGGATACTGATAATGTCTGTGTCTCCCGGAGTTAGTTAACGACAGTAACTTGTCTGAAGAAGGCAATTAATAGTCCGCTCATTGTGCTTTAACTACGACAATTAATGTTATTAAGATTAATTGAAGTCATGAATCTTACTCAATTGGTATTGTACCGTAAATTCAAAATAAGCCATAACTGAATAAGATATATTCCCCTGTAAGTTTAATAACATGTTCAAATGATCATTTTCTGTTTTGCCCCGGTTGTTTAGAATAACAAAGGTAAAAGATGAAAAATAATTTCATGAAATTGGACAACTTTATTTTATTTTTTTTAATTGAACAACATGACTAATTCCCAAGCTTCTTGAGAGGCTCTAGGGCTGACAACTAGAAGTTATATCACAAAAAATTTTCTAAATCAAACTATTTTTAATCTTTCATTTTTTTTTCTCAAGGCTTTTTTAACCTTTTGGATTGAAAAGAAACGGTAGGAATTGAGAATTGGTTTAGAAACGTTCATTCATCCATGCCTTCGGGAGAAAAGAAGTTGTGTGCTCATGCAGTCACAGCTGATCCTGTTTCACATAAGCTCCATCTTCATGAATTCGAAATCAAAATTGTGCGAATTTAAATGATTGAATCAACTGAGTGTTTGTATAATTATTATCATAAGCACTTTTTATACGTGCAAACTATTAAAAAAAATAAGTTAATATGATAATTACATAAAAGATAGATTTTATAATATATTTTAATATGAAAGAATAAAGTTGTTAATAATATATTTTTTACCAACATAATTAATAATATATAAGATAATATAATTAATAAATAATTAATGTGTATATATATGTATAAAATATAAAATTAAATATGTTTATAAAAAAATAATTGAGGAATATTAAAGTCATATTATCGTTGAGATCTGCTCTGACAAACACAATCATACTCTTTAATTTGAACCAGAAGCAGAATTGATTTACTTCATCCAAAATCATGATTTTGGACTATGAAACCATAGTTTTGAACTCAAACCATGATTTCTCCATATTTGGCAATCTCTTTTTCCAAACCATGATTTGGGATGACATCCAAACAGGCCGGCCCCTTGGGGTATGACACCCAACCAAAGGGGAAAGCATTGCAAAATTGACCTTCTTTAAAGCATTGAGGATTGAACTGAACAAAAAATAAAAATACATAAACTCACACATGAGCCGACCCACCCCTAGGGCGATGATGGAATGGGCCATAAGCCATGTATAAAATGAACAGATGAAACTTCACCCCAGCCTTGCCTAACCCAACCACTGGGCCCATTTTCACAGCTTACGGAACGAGTGGCTCTGAATGTGAAAGACCAGCCGAACAGCCCATGTCCATTTCATAAATGTTTCTCAATGGGGCAACTTCGGTCAGGAATAAACTTCAATCTTGTTCTGTTAGAAAAACCTATCTAGTTCAGGAAGAAAATTCCATGAACTCCTCACCAAACTCAGCACAGTAGGAGTACAACATAGCGAAAGTTCAACCCCCAAAGAGTCCGTGGATATCAAAATTCACAAACATTTTTGCTGGAAAGCAATCTCAGGACTTTTTCCATCAATTAGTGAGTGGTGAGGAAAATCATATGGCATTTCTTCAGCAGAAAGCCACGCCTCATTGAACACCCTTGTGACTTCTTGGTACACTACTTCGTTTCCTTCTGGCGTAAGGTGCAAGCCATCACTGGAAAACAATGCAGGAATGCAGAAATCTTTATAAGGCTAAACACAATGCAATGCCAAGTTGAATTGACCCCGATGCTATGTGTAACATCCTTATTTTTATCTAGTATTTAATTAAATTTATAAATAAATAAATTTTAGTATTAAGTTAAAAAAAAAAGAAGAAGTTAGATATAGGCAAATTATTATTATTATTATTTTAATAATGTTTTTGTATGTGATTGTGTGTATGTGTGGATGATATTCTAGAAATTAAACCATGGTATAGAAGTCCCACATCGACTAATTTTTAGAGTGAAGGAGTTTGAGGAGCCTATATATAGGAGCTAGTGAGTGGAGCTTGGAGTAAGTAAATAATTTTCGCACATATCTGAGGTAGTCTCAGAAAAGTGTTATTTTTGATTTTATTAACCGTTGGATCGGACTGAAATCTGGTCAGTCCATTTGGGACATCCAAATCGTTAATTTCAACGGTTGGATCACCCTTTTTATCTCCGAGTTACAAGTTATTAGGTACGTTTTTAACTTATATCTTTTGGATTTAACAGATAGAGTCATGAATAGTAAATTAGCATTTTAAAGTTTATTCACCGTTAGATTGAGCTATAATTTGGAGGATAGTATCATGATGGATAGGAAATTAAATTCAACGATTAGATTATGGGTTTAACTTCTGTAGTGAGAATAACTTGGTTCGTACTAAGTCTATTTGTCTAAATCTTTCAAAAATGGAATATAAGTTATAAATTTATAGTTTGTCTATTTCCATTATGAATTTGATGATTCTAATAAAATAATCTAATAATTAAAGGATATTTAAGTAAGGAAATTTAAGAATCGAGTCTAAATCACATATATATATGTTCTCATTCCAAACCTTAGAGAAATGTCTTTTAGGCTAGAGTTCTGAGTAAAATTAAAACTTTTAGAGAAGGAGTTAGAGGCTAAAATTTTGTGAGTAGCCTACTCTAATACTATAGAGATAATATTTTAATTTTGTTCGTAGATATAAACTCTATTGTGACATTTTCGAGGTTGGACTCTGGTTGTAGTTGACTGATAGTTAGGAGACCAGGTAACTAAATTTCTATCTGTTGCATGTTCTAGTATGAAGTTGGTGAGCGGCTTTACAACTAATTCTGTAAAAGTATATTACGTTTTGTATGAATTGTCTTGTGGGATGCTATTTTAAAAAGGATTGACATAGTTTGTATTGCAAGAAATTGGTGATCATGATTATAATGTGTTATTATAAAATTTTGTTGATTATGCATATAAATGTGTCATTTTGAACCCTGTGTATTTATTTTGGATGGGGAAAGGAGATAATTGGAGTTGTTGAGATTCATATACTTGCCACGTGGTATTAGCCTCCATACGGAGCTCTATAGTTAGCTGCTATTATTGTCCCACTAGTTCTTCGAGGGACTGCGACACCCCACTAGTTCTTCGAGGGGGGATCCATGGTCCACCAAGTGCTTTGTGGTCTTTGGCCGGTCCACATCATTCGTGTGGTGAGCTTGTCAGAGTTGCCAGTCAAATGGAAAGAACTTAGCCCATGGGTCCAGTCGGCGGAAATAAGGAGGATATAAGGATGGATTTGGGTTCAAGAATTGCATATGACATGAGATATTCATTGATATTTATATCTTTTACGCTGTGTTTGGCTCGATGGAGAGAAGGGGAGGGGAGGGATTTTAATCAAGGGAAGGGGAGGGGAGGGAAGGGGAGGGTAGCTACAGAGGGGAGGGGAGGGGAGGGAGGGGGAGGGATTTTAATGATCTCCTGTTTGGATTGATTGGAGGGGAGGGGAGGGAGCAATTTTAATAATACCTTATTTTATTCTAATAAAAAATTGACTATTTTAGCCTCATAAAATTTAAATGAATTTTCTCACTTTTTTATTTTGTTAAGATATAACTATATATATAATACAATTCATCAATTTTGATTTACAAGACATAGTCACACACTTATAGAATATCAAGATAAAAAGTCACGAGTGATAGATTTCAATCAGCAAAAAGACCTTGAAGGTGAAAGAAAATACCAACAACCTCTTGGAATTAGAAGAAGAGAAAAAAAAAAAGTTTACAAATGTTCACTAATTTTGGAGACAATTATCTTAATAACCTCTTGTTAGATGCTCAAAAAAACTCTCTTATGTAGAAATATTTACGATTGATTAGAGGTTAACAAATCAAAAGGGTATATAAGGAATTGAAATATTATCTCTCATCTCCCCTCCAAAAAACCCCACTTTTGGAGGGGAGGCTAGAAGGGAAGGGGAGGGGAGAAGAATCCCTCCCCTCTTTAAAAAACATCTTAACCAAACGAGGGAAGGGGAGGGGCTCCCCTCCCCTCCTAAAAAATTACACCAGCCAAACGAGGGGAGGGGAGCAACTCTCCTCCCCTCCCCTCCAAAAATCCCGTACCAAACATAGCGTTAAATAAATGACAAGTATGTTATCTCTTTTGAAATGTATCCATTGCATGAGACTGGTAGAAATATTTGTCTTGTATGATTATTGTGAGTTTAAATGTTAAATAAATGTTTATCAACTATTATTAACTCTATGTATCCCACCTGACACCTCGCTAGCCCATGTTAGGGTGTGGGATAGGTAGGAATTTAGTTACTAAGACGTTGTCTCACTCCTGTTGCTTTACCATTTTCAGGAAACAATACGTTAGCGGGACCTTCGGGGAAGACTCCTGAGGCTCAATAGCTGTAGCTGACAGTGTAGAGCTTCTGGACCTTGTTTTATGTAATCTTTTCGTATATTGCCACGCATCAGGACTGCATTCATTTGGAACTTATTTTACCTCCTTATATTTTCATGTCGTTTGACTTAGTGGACGTATTATACTTTCTATCTTTGGTTTATTTTGTCTGGACATTGGACTAGAGTGCTAGTAGTGGGCCTGAGGCCCTTAGATTGCATGTGATTGAATTATTGTGGATCCATGATGTGATAATGGCAATTTTGACAAGTTTAGTTGTTGCTAGTGTTGACTAAGATAGTCAAGTCTAAACTGCTATTATAATTTATCATTCAAAGGCATATTGTTTTATAACCATGTTTGCCATGATTACAAATATAGGTTATTCTTTTTCTAACCATGATAGTCTTAATTAAGGTCGAATGTTTTTCTATCATGGTTAGCCCTTTAATGATGTGATTGCTCTTAAATAACCATGATAGGGTATGTTTACTAGTTTTAATCTTTTCTATCATAGTTAGTTCTGGTTAGTAAGTAGTGATGTTACACTATGCATCTGAATGAATCTCAAATTATTTTTTTAATAACCTGCAACCTTTGTTCTTCACAAGAACATAGTGACTAAATATTCCTCCTTTTTTTTTTTTTGGGTGTCTTATGGTCAAGGTCGTCCTCACTTTTTCAATGCTAAATTCCCTCCTATGGTATTTGATCAAGCCTGCTGATTTAAGATTTTTACCTAGAGTGTTCCTCTAAAGATTATAATGTAATAAAATGGCATCCCCTTGAATAAGACATTTAACTATTTTGTTGCAACACAAATAGACCAAAAAGTTTGAAAACATTCATGATGCTTCAACAAGAGAACAGGGTCAAACCTAAATAATATTCACCTGTTCTCTCAAGTGTCCAGGAATTAAGCATCACAAACCTTAAAAATTTCTTTTGCCAACCATCTGACTCTTGCATCTTGGACCAAAGATTGATAAAGCGAACACCTAATTCCTCAGCTGTTTCAATACAAGCTTTTGCATATTCACCTGTTACTTCATTTGTTCTTTCTGACAGTTTTCTGGCATTCTCGCCATATAAAGATCTGCAAGACAGTGAAAACCTATTAAAGTTAACAATCATTTAAATGATGGAAAGATTATTTAGCCCATGATTCTCTTGCTCTATTAAAACATTCAAATTTCAAGGACAACAAGTCTAGAGGCCAAAAAAATTTACAAATTAGAAGTTCACCCAGCGGTTTTCCCTCCAGGAATTGCATGAAGATACATGTCACAAGGAACAGCTCCATTCAATGCTTTTGGTAAGGTTAGCAAATAACTTGCATCGTACAGTGAGACAGCGACCATAAAAGAATGCAGATTTTGGATATTGAATCTAAAATGAGAGACGGAATCTATCATACCTTGCATAAGCATCACGCCCTTCCTCACAAACTGGCGGTGGAGTAATAAGCACAATTAGCATAGCTGGCGACCGTTCCTGCAATTTTTTGTTCAGTTATGAAATAGTGTTAGATCCTATAATATGAACAATAGATGAGTAGTTACTTAGGAAATTACTATCGTAGTTCATTGGAGCAGTTTGCCTGTCCGCTTTCTCAATATATACCAATGTACCAAGGGGTATGACTTAGGAGGACATGTATGATGGTTCATGAAGATTCTTTTTGTCTAAATCTCTCTCTCTCTCCTCTTTCATCTCTATTTCTACTTTCCATAACATCATATGATTGGCACTTAATGGAATATGGGTCCAATTCACGCTATGCCCTGATTGTTTTCACAATCAACATTAGGATCCTCCTCAACCCAATGAGGCAAAGTAACAAGATGGAAAGAAATCCAAATCATTATACTGAATTCAAAGGGATGAAAAAGGCAAAAAGTACTTTAAAAGTTGAACTTCAATTTACAGAGTATTTCCAGAAGTAAAAATTATATCATATAGAAGATAAAATCATAAGGTTATACAGTTTAAAAAATCCTTGAGACTCCAATAAAATACATTTCCTCTAAGTCTATTCGTGATATACTTATTCTTTCAAGACATTGCTATATACTGGAGCAAGTTATCCAACTTATAAACTTGGAACAAGTAAATTATGATATCTAAAACAAGAAATGGGTACGCATAGATGTAATATATACCATCTGCGTAAATTAGAATAAACAAAAATCCAGGTTAAATGATATTATCCTGGATTATAGGCAAAGTCTAACCAAAGGAACACAAGTTAGCAGATAATGATTTGAAAGGATTGAACAGGTTGCTAACCAACTGATTTACGTTGTTGAAAAGTGAAACAGCAAAATTTGACCTTCAAATGTCGAACAATCTTTCTAAGATTCTCCTTGTACTCTTCAATAGGTACATGTTGCCTTTCACTATTTCTTCCCAACAAAGCAGCATCATTAGCACCAAAGAAAATTGTGGTAGCAACAGGAGGTTTGGTTGAGTCCTGGAAAAGAAGTCACGCTATTAAAACATTAGGAATTCAACCGTCAATGTAGCTATTTGCCGAGCCTCGAATATATTATCAAGCACGGCATTGCAGTATCACAAACTAAGAGATTTTTTTGTTTAAGGAAAATTATGCATCAATAGGAAATATAGCTTCACTGTCGGGGCAGCAAGAAGTGTCAAAAGACTATATGAAATCCCGCAGATGTTAATGAAAGGTCCAATGTTCAATCAGTACATCACTATGACACAGCCAAGACTAGCAGATTGCTGAATCTTTAAAACTAACCTTTAAAGGCTACTAAATTTATATAATTAGAGCAATGCGTGAAGGAGCCCATTGATTAAATCATCCTCTCATTTTGTCTCATGCTTAACAAAAAGCTGTATGTCAAATCAAAAATTTTCTTCCATTCGCAACCAAAAGGGGGAAAAAGAAAAGAGGATCGTCCATGTTTAAAAGCACCCAAAAAAGACAAATTGCATGCATGCTACTTTGAGTCAAGTGATTTTAGTACTGACCAATAATGGCAGCTGAATGATCCACACATAAGGCAAAAGGATCAATGGCTAGCCATATACTAGGATAACAGATGGAAGTAGGATGCAAACATAGATATTAGTGAAGAAATGAAGATAAAGATGGCAATTTACCAGAGGGAATATGTGATGCAACAAGAACAAAGCCCACCTGGTGTTGTATCCACCATATCCACGAATGAGAACATCAGCCTTCGCAATGAGAGAATATAAAAGATTATTAATTTCTGAAGCATGTACGGAACCAGAAGACAATTTTGGATCTCTGATGAGGACGAGAACGAATGAGAAAAACAAACACGAAGGGAAAAAAACCTTGCGAGAATATGAGTTGGCAAGAGCAGCACCCCATCCGCCAGGTCGGAAGGATTGCTCCGTCAGCGAATCTCCAAACAACACGATCTGAGGCCTCATTGTAAGTTACACTGCCCAGGCTTCCCCACTCAGGCCAGCGATTTGATCACCAACCAGGCGCCTCAAAAATTGTGGGACAGATTTCTAACTTGCACTGCAGATGAAGTAACTGACAACCAATTCACAATCAGGGGGTCTGAAGAAGACCTCACTGAACGCGCAAAAAGATCTAATATCAAATCTCAGTTTTATTTCGCTGGTCAAAAAAATCTCAGTTTTATTTCTCGTTTTTATTTAATATTTTTAAATTTATTTTTTATTAATTTAAAATTTGTTTACTTTCTTTATCTTTCATATTTAATACTGTACTTTTTATTTTAAAAAGGACGTTTTAAAACAATTGACACATATTTTTAATAATAACAATTAATTTAACTATTTTTTTTCGATTCAGACCTGTAAGAGTAGAATGAAGCATGTAAATGTTTGTACACTATAGGGGAGAGCACTGTGCAAGAGGCCCTAAGCCTGGATTTATTTCAAGGCTTTGGTCTAACCTTGGCCTATGGCGATTGAACCTTAAGCACAATGATAATTAGAAAGTGATAATTGTACGTTGAAACTATAAGAAATCAATATCAGAATGAAATCTACAAAAAGAAACTGAACCATGATATGTATAATTAGATATAAAAATTGTGTTAGAAGTTCTGGATTGATTCATTGATGAAAAATTTGAAATACTAGCTCTAGCTCTTAATCAATAAGCTTGTTTGATTTTTATTTTGATTATAAATATAAGATTTTAATCTATTCTGTCTCTTATATTTATTTATTTTTTTAAAACAATTCTTATAATAATAGTAGTTCTAACCAATATATTTGATTACCAATGATACTTTAAAAAAGACAACATTTATTTATTATAAATAATTAACTGATTTTTATATTAAATACTGGAGGCAGTACTATTCTGTGAATTATGGTGGCAGTTCTTGATTATGGCTTGTGATGGGAGTCATGAATAGAAGCTTTTTATGACGCCAACGAGTCCTTCTCCCTTTCTATCGAATGATCATGATAAATTTTCGTAGTCGAAACCACCGAAATTCTGAATGATTAAAAAAAATTATATTTAAAAAGAGCGTGAAAAACTCTTATTGGCTAAAATTATCTAAAAATCTAATCCTTAAACAGTTGTAGCTATATATTTTTATGTATGTTTAAATGTTTTTCTTCTAGCACGTACAATAAATAAATAAATGAATGGGTACTGAAGCCTTTTGGACACGTGGCCACGGCCCAGAAGATTCCCAAACCAAGGAGGAGGGAGGAGTAGAACCGCCATTGGAGGAGCCCTATTTATTTTCCTGGTATCCTAGCCCCTACGCAGGCACAACGTTCGGCATCCGCCTGAGAGAGGATTCGAGGAGTGAACAGTGAAGCTAGAAGAAGACGCTGAATCAAATTCGGGGACAAAATGCTAAGGCTCGCATCCAAAAGACTAATCGGAATCGCATCGCGGGAGGCGCCGACGTCCCAGCTCCTGCCCCGGTTTTACCACGAGAGGGTTGTTGATCACTACAACAATCCCCGGAATGTTGGATCCTTTGATAAGAATGATCCCAGCGTGGGCACGGGGTTGGTCGGTGCACCTGCATGTGGGGATGTTATGAAGCTTCAGATTAAGGTTGATGAAGAGACCGGTAAGATTGTTGATGCTCGCTTCAAGACCTTCGGCTGTGGGTCAGCCATTGCCTCTTCCTCTCTGGGTACGCTTTCCTGTAAACTCTCTTTTTTCGCTGTAGAGTTTCGATATCATTCAGAAATGGAAAGGAGTCCGGTTGGATATGTACTTTTCGAGTCTGTTTTTGTGGGTTAGGGCGCTACCTTTTTGAATGATGTTTTCTTTCTGGAATTCTGTAGGCTTTTTTTTTTTTTTTCGCTTTTTCTTTCGTAAACCTTTGTTGATTTACCTGTCAGTTTATTCTATATCTATTGTAGTCTAATCCTCGTTGAAGATTTTTCTAATTTTCGAATTTCTCACGTTTCAGCTACGGAATGGGTAAAGGGAAAGCAAACGGAAGAAGCCCTTTCTATTAAAAACTCGTAAGTGTCAAACGCCGACCTCTAGAAAGGATATGAAGTATGTTATGTGTTACTTTTCAAGATCCACCTGTATTTATCTTTATATCAAACATAAAGTGTACCTTGGCTGTTAGAAATCCACACTCTAGCTTTGTATTGGAGGATATTTATTTGCTTTTATCTGTTTTTCATCCTGTCTCTTCTACTGTGGTTCCTAGGGAGTGTTTTGCTCATTTAGTTAATATTTTGCCTTTACCTATAGTTGCTTCTACGTTGTAGGACCTTTGTTGTTATATATTATTTTGCCTTTATCCGAAAAAGAACATAAAGCATACTGGGTGGTGGTCATCAGATGAAAGTAACTTGCTCTGAGTTTCTTGCTATCTGAGGGTTTCTGTGATTATGATTTACTTGCTGGTGGCTCCTTCTCTATATTTTCTTTGCCACTCCATATTTGATTGCCTGTATAGTAATGAGTCTGAGCTGAACAAAATTAGTCAGATAGCCACAAGTATGGAGGAAGGTGAGCTTATAGAAGAGATTGAGAATGTTTGGATTATGTATTCATCTGATTAGAACGGTCGGTTGTGGAAGATATAGGAAGCTTTTTATTTTTTCCACTCCTATGCCTGCACGCTCCCCGCACACATGCATGGATGGTTATTTTAGATGAAGTATTGTTAGGCTTGGTTGATTTCAAAATTAGATCGTCTATATTTATACATTCTTGCATTCATAAAGAGTATACCCGTCATGTCTTTTTTCTTTTTCTTTTTTTTGAATGAACTTCATGTCTTATTTTAATATTTCGTCAAATACATTATATGCATTCGCTTCTGTAAATATGGGAGATTGTGATGGTTCTGGACCTTCAAATAATCATGAATCTGGATTCTATCTTTAGCTATGTTGATCCCCCTCTTAATGGTTCTGGTCTCTGCTGTTATATTGTTGAAATGATGCCCAATGACTGGTGTTCTACAGTGAAATTGCGAAGCATCTTTCACTTCCGCCGGTTAAGCTTCACTGCAGCATGCTCGCTGAGGATGCCATTAAAGCAGCCGTGAAAGACTATGCAACTAGGCGTGCTAATGGAAATTGTAGTGAAGATTCAGCTTCTGCAGAAAAGGCTGCCCCTGCTTGATTATTCTACGTGGAGAATGATGATGAGAAGGTCTTGTGTTTCTTGGCTGGAGGCTTGGAGCTGGTCAGCTAAGTTGTATTATCATAATGTAGAGTAAATAATAGTGTGCTGTGCTGTCTATACTTAAATATCTGTATGGGCTCTGGCTAATTGGGCGTAGTGTTTGTAATCAACTGGATGCCCATAAATAAAGCAGCCCAAATAAAAGGCAGGTTGCATGAATGAATTAACAGAGACTTATGTTATGCCATGAAACAACACAGATTGAATGCGGTAATTGATGGGTGAATATTGAAGTTGATAATTGAGTACTTTGTTTGCTCTATATCAATATATATTGTTAAACATCTGTAGGATGTCAAAAAGTTAAGCCTTCGATGTACAGTTTACCTCCGTTATTGTACAAGAACGGGGTTCATATTTGGCTAAAAAAGGAAAATAGAAAAGAAAGGAAGGAATGGGATGCATATTCTAGTTGCACCCATGATGAGTTATCGCTCTATACACACAAGTATGTATGTATTACTGTTGTTTCGAAGTAGTTAGGCTGAAGGAAAATAACAATCGTCTGAGGGTCTTCGTGATGTTAATCGCGTGAAATGCGCAAATGTAATTAGACCGCATGACGGCATATATTGTATTATAAGGATTATTCACTTGTAAAACGTAGTATTGATACTGATCCCCGAAGCTAAGATATCATGAAAGAATCCAGAAATGGTGGACGCCATTTTAGAGTCATTAGTTACCTTGGTGGATCGATCTCTTTATTAACCGACCAAATCAAAGCACATGGATTTCTAATATTTTATTTATCGTATAATAAAATAACTCATTAATATTATTAACACTTCAAAATTCATTTACAGATGTCTAATTAGATGGCGGAAAAAAAAAAAAGAGATGTCTAATTAAATGTAAAATTTATAGGACAATAGACTCAGTCACGTGAAAAGATGTGGATAGGCGATAAAAATAAATATTTTCTCCTTAATAAACTTCAACCCGATTTTGCCAAATTCCTCTCTCAGTTTATAATAAAAATTCACTTTACGCAAATTTTACAAAATCTTCAATTTACAATTTTAGATGCAGGAGCAGGACTGACTAGGAACCTACGGATTTTTTTTTTTTTTTTGGCGCAAATGCAAGAGACTCTTGAGAGAATTCACCAACATCCTGGGACAAACTAAACTAATCGGACATTTTTGGTGACAAGCAATGAGATCCTCTTGAGAGCATCAGTCAATGTAAGCGCGTAACCATTATAGTCATTATGAAGAGTTGATTTATTACAGCACTAGCAGCTAAATATTAATCTCAAGTAGTAATTCACAAATTTTTTAAAGTTAGTGTTGCAAGTAATATATGAAAAAGAAGAAAAGCAACTGTCTGTTCCAACATCATGACAGTGAGTTTTGTGGTATAATAGTGCAGCCATTAACACCATAACTTGGTTGAATCGTTCATGACAAAATCGAGTATACCAGAGAATAGTGAATAAATCATTCTTTTGACAGTTTCATGGCAAGTTGAAGCCTATCTCATAGAGATCAAAACTTGAAGTTAATATACAAGAAAGAATGAAGCTGGCGACAGAACATTTCGACTGCTAAGCCAGATAATGACAGCTCCATGCTAAAATTAGAATTGACTCAAACAGCCCGTATGTTGATCAATCCATCCAAGACAACCGTACATGAACGCATTCATACTATGCCTGTCCTTCGATAGGTCCGACCTTTGTGTATGATACACCCTTGATTTTCTTATGAGAAGTCTGTTTCGATTTCTTTAATTTCCTTTTCTTGGAAGCAGCATTTTCTTCAGCGTGATCTTGGTCATCAATGGCATGTTCTTCATCTGTATGCTCGTTTTGGGAATGCAACAAAGAATTGACATTCAGTTCTGCCTGCTGAATTTCCGGTTCAAGAACCGACATTCCCGTTAAAGTGTAATCTAACAAA